ATTTGGAAATGGCACATTAAGGTGGCTCATAATGCTGTTGAGCTATAGATAAAAGTTTTCTGCTGGCATAAATTGTCCTTCCTGTGCAATTTTTGAACGGTATGCTTCTCTACACAAAAATGGATTTTTCCATAATGCCTCTTATCGGTACTGTTTGCCTATGGAGAGACATGTCCTCCTGGAGGGCTTTCAAGGGAAACTGGCTCAAATCCATACTATACGCAATGGAAACCGTGAAAACTCTCATTCAGCTGGCCCATTTATAAGGTTGTTGAACCTAAGCTGAATTACCAGTATTGAATGATTCTATCACTCAGATGGAAACGAAAAGGCGTAAATACTTAGGAAATCATTCTCCAAGCAGCTCTAGCTCTATTTTAATTTTATGTCTTGTAGAGACATTAGGTTAATTGGAAAAGCTGGAGAGATGAAAAATTAGAACCGCCTTCACCGGGAATCGAACCATGGACCTCTCGAATACCGACCCAGCATGCAGAACCACTACACCACACTAGCAAAGTGGGAGAAATACCTTATATACTGGTGGCTGTTCGGTAATGTTCTTCATATGCCGTTGTGCGTTGTCCGCTCTGGCGGCAATTCCAAGTTAAATATTTGTACACAGATCAAGAACCAAAAATACATACTTTATATACTGGCGTGGCCTGTCATGACCATAAGACCAACTTCTTTGGTTAGGCGGGTCACGCTGCGCCCACTACTGATACCTTATATACTCCCCTCTTTTTTAAAGGGCGACTGGGGTTTTAGGGGACCCATTTGCCACATCCTGGGTGCGGAGAATCCTTATCCAACACACTTTTCGTCCAGGTACCACTGTAGAGACATTAGGTATATTTTTGGCAGCAGGCAAGATGGAAACTTAGCAACGCCTTCACTGGGAGTTGAACAACGGACCTCTGGAATACTGGCCCAGCATGCAGAACCACTACACCACGCTAGGAAAGTGGGGGAAATACCTTATAGCTTCTTTCAATTTCACCCTGAGGCAAGTGCCTAATCTTTGTCATGACTTTCGATATCTACATATATGTATCAGATAAGTCAAATTCTGGTTCTTTGGCTCATTAAGCACTTCAGCAGTGATGAAACCTTCTGGGCTAGGACATTTTGGGCAGCAGATTATAAAAGCAGTTTTCTAAAAGCCTGGAACTTCAATGCACATTTTTAGCAATTAGTAAATTAATTTTTTAAATTGCATTTTAAAAATATTACTCAATAATTAAAAATGTGCGGTATGAGCCTTAAGAAAATGTTAAATAAAAGGTGAAATCATTGTTTCTATACACACTAGCTATCAAAACAGCATAAAAGACATATACATCGGTAACACATTAAATCAGATATGTAGTTTGAATCAACTGGAACAAGTAAAATACAGCTGACAACCCAGATTTTATCTAATGAATTTATCTATATGCTAAAATCTAAATATACATACCATGTCCATGTAAGTTCCTACCCTGCCATTATTTTCGCAGCTGTTGGTCCTAGACATAAACTTCTAATTACAGAAACATTTCAAATGATGCAAACACCCATGTTTTGGCATGTTTTAAATTTTAAAAATGTCATTTTTGCAAAAATTATGAAACTTACATTTTTATACATTTTTCTGGTCCTCAAAATTTTATACTCATTATAAAAAGTAAAATACATAATGTTTGACTGCTATGTGAAAACAGTTATACAAATTTTTATTTTGAAGTTAAAAATCATATTCAAGGGCCATACACAAATTAAAAGAATGAAAATTTTGCATCTGTAGGTAAAAAAAAAGGTTTCTGAAGTTAACAGATTAAATGGCAAGTATTTTTATGCAAACTGCCATGAAAAGTACTGATCAGCATACTTTTTTTCACAAAAGAGATTTTATAGAATTTGTGTTCTAGAAAACGCTGGCAGGCTTCGGTATTGAAACACAGTCAATTTATACCATTAAAAATCGTAATAACAACCTTGTATTTAGCGTACATATATTAAAACACTCAATCGATTTCGAGGGCAGCTAAAGGTCCCTCCTCATCAGGAGAACGAAATTACTATAAAGGGGGAAAAAGAAGAAAAATAAAGTATTGGCAAAGGAGTCTCGGAAACATGTGGTCGTAACCAGATTTTTAATCAGAGTTACACTGGCCGCCTACTTTTATCATTATTTGCATGAATTAAAAATAAAAAAGATTTTTTGTTTAGTGAATTTTTTGTATGATTCTAAAGAAATAAAACTTCAGGAGAATATAAATAATGCATTTTTAGCAGATGAAAACTAATAAATTACTTGTGTGAAAATACTTCTGGCATGCCGACTAAAAAATTATAAATTTTAAAAAAAATGTTTTAAATATAGTAAATCCCAAAAGAATACCATTGAATGAAATTTAAATCAGCTTCTAATTTATTAATTGGCCCTTTGAAGTAATTCGGAAATGACATCAAATAGCCCAAATTTTGAAATGAAATAACTCTATTAATTTTTGTTGCATGGGAGTAAAACCTGTTACTTTTTATTGTAAATATAAATTTTTTTTCTAAATGTAGGGAATGAAGGACTTTATAAAAATCAAATTTTATCATTTTTTAAAATTATCTTTTTTTTCCTTTCTTTAGTTTAAAAATGACAAAAAGTGAATATTTGCATCATTTAAAACATTTTTAGTAAGGACACTGAATAAGTAATACATGCATGTATATACACGCACAATTTATCAGCGACCTAATAAATAAAGGAACGATTTAATTTTATGTTCTCAGAAATACTGGTTACTTTTAGAAATCATTACCATGACACATTTTATGAGAAGAGTTCAATCTCTGAGTCTACAGTTGTCGTTCTAGTTTATTTCAGGCTACCTTATAACTTGACCTAAAGAATTTTTTATAAACTCCTTTCATTCTGGATTCAAATTTTCTTTTTTAACTGACTTTATGAAATGCAGTAAATTTATTTTAAACTATTGTTTTAACCACTAATTTACTTCCAATATTGTAATGCAAATGCAGTTGCATCTGGGGCATTTTGGTATTTACTTTATTGATATTTTTTCTTTAATTTCTCTCAGCATTTTAAATAATGATACAGACTTTACTGAAGACTTGATTTAGTTAGCTGTTATACATTATCATAGTGCAGCTACAATTCCCTTTAAGTTATCTTTATAATCACTCTTTTACTGATTTGTCTCATTTCTAATTTATTATTATATTAATATTTCATTAATTATCTAATTTTTTTTAAATTATGTTTTTACTCTGTTTAAATGACCTAGCTGGAAGCAATCTAACTTGTATTATCATTTATTATATAAACTATTTACTTTCTTTAAATTACATATTTTACATTAGTATTTCAAATGTAATATAAATTTGATTACAGGTTTTAAAACAATATGTTTAAATTTTGCTTTCCTAATAAAATACAGTTAATTATACAATTCTTCACTTTTATAATTAAGAAAAATTAACATTATGTAATTTTAAATTCACTTAGCATAGTGCTGTTTTCTTTTTTAAATGTTTCATTCTGCATATGTTTTTTATATCTGAAATATCTAATTAATGAAAAATACCAAGCTTGCATAAAACATGAAAATTTTTTTTAAGATTCAAGAAAGAAACAAAAACTTTTTAAGTTCAATATATTCTTTATTAAAAATTTAAAATATTTTTTCATTAAACTGTCAGTCTATGTTACAATAGCTCATATTTATGGAACTGTTCTATAATATACATAAAAAAAAAGTTTTATTAGTACAATTATCAAGATAAAAGGAAGAAAGGAATTAAAACAATAAAATATGTGGAAATTCAAATAAATGTATAAAGAATGCACAAAATAAAAAAACAAAAACATAAATTTTTATGAGCATTTAAAATCTGCTAAGGTTATTTTTTCATCATATTTAAAGTACAAATTTTTATTTTATACCTAAAAAACATTTACATGTATTTATAAAAATTTAAACACATATAATAAAATATTCCAGAAGTATCATCATTTACTTCTGGATCTTAGTTTCTATCTCCTTTTAGAAATTCTGAAAACTACTTCCATTTACAATGGAAAAAAGGACACTTTTATTTTTTGATTATCAATCTGTATACATCAGTAAATTCCTTCACCCCCCCCAAAAAAGAGATGAATTTCAATAAAAGTTTCAGCTCATCCTTAAATGATTTAACTAAAATACAGTACATTTAAAAGTAAACTGCATAAACATAACTTAAAACAATTTGGAGTGAAGTATAATAAGCATAAGTTGAATGAAATAAATGTTTTCCTTTACTGTAAATTTTATACATATGACTAGTATGTAACAATTTGCCACACAGAAAAAAATTGAGATTGTCATAATTACAAGAAATTCGGATTTTTCAACAATTAATACATAAAAATTCTTGCTATTTTTCATCAAATGACAGTGATTGGATTTTTTTTTTCAATTTTTCTGTTATAAAAATGCCTTAATATGATCTGCTATGATTTTTAAATTAAGCTCGAGCATAGTCTGATAAGACAGGTAAAAATTACATTAATCATTCTTTTATCAGTTACAGGATATATATATAAGTACTAATAAATCTGCCTTAAAGTTCTATATATATATATATATATATATATATAGAAACTTATATATCTATATATAAGTTAAAGAAAGTTAAGTTAAAGTTCTTCTCTATATATAAACTATTAGAAGACTTTAGTTTCATCATTTTCAGATGTTTCATGACTATAATTAGAATTTCCTAAGTTCGATAAAATACAAATTTATCCAACATAATTTTTTTAAATTTCAGTTAAATTATTTTTCATTGCAATAATTAATTACAACAAATATTTACACATCCAAACCTTGATAATAGAAAGCTGCCATTATTAGTTTTTTCATGAAAGTCGTCAACAGTTTGGAGTGTTTTATATAAAAGGCCTCATTAAGACTCTATACAACTTTCCATAGGATCGTGAATACATAACATATGACTGTAAAAACACAAGTCATATTTTAAGAACACATCACTCTTCCAAATACAACAAAAATTTGGCAAAACATATGATTAAGTTATTTCACAAAATAAAGTAAAAGGCTATATTTTACAGGACACTGAGTACATTGTAAAGCAATATGAAATAGAAATCAGAAAATAATAAATACTACAAAACCATAATGAATGCAAGATGTGATAATAAAAGAGATTCAGAAGTTGTGCAAAATGAAGCTTAATGCTTTGCATAAATGCAAAATGTTAATTTAAGAGATTCGTTACAATGAAGTTTAAAACTTATTACAATTATACTACATAACACTCTTATGTGATACACATTAAAAGATAAAGCACTTTTAGATATTATATTTGCACTATATAGAATAATTTTTCTATAATACAAATGCTTATATTTCTGCTTAAAAAAATAATTGAAATAAAATAAAAAAATTGCATTGCACATAAGTTTTTTATGAAACCGGGAAATTTCATAGACTGATTTAATTTAAATATCAATGCTTTAGTGCACCTGGCTATTAAAAAATATCACTTTAAATGAATATTGGAAGAAAAAGATTGAAAAATCTCTAACACTTAACTAGAACTAAGCAGCCCTATAAAGACAGAAGCATTAACATCCAACAGCATTTCATATGAACACATTGAGATCTAGTCTATACTATGCACAAAGGCAATGGTATTCTTAATTCTAAATTCAAAACTAAAAGCATTAATTTACAGATTATTTGTTATGATGAAATGATGCATTTAAACACACACACAAACAAACAAACAAACAAAAAAGCACATACATAAATAGTGTTAAAATAATGGCACAATGGTTAAGAGATTAATTTTTTTAAAGAAAAATACCACAATGTAAAGTTTCTTAGTATAACTGGAAAAAGATCTTCAAAATTCTTGTCTTCTAAAATCTTTACTTTTTCACTAATTGAAATTCAGGTGATAATTTTCCAACTCAAACACAGTTGGCAATTCAGATACAGTCAAAAATCATGGCTGCCCCAAAATGGCTTTTCATAGCACCAAACAAACAAAACGAAAAGAGGGAAAAAATGATTATTTACAGTACAGAAGATGATCATCATTTACCACCATACATAGGATTTTTAAAAGTGGATGTAGCTTGCTTATAAATAGGATTTTCACCCTGCAAATAATAACATATTTGTTTAAATTCTTTCTAGATAAATAAATTAAAAACATGAAATAAAATTGAAGTATCACTTTTAAATTAACTAAAGCAATGTAATTAATTATACATAGCAATATATACGCTATGATAAATGGGAATAACAATAACCAAATAAACCTGTTAAAGTGAATAATTTATGAAAATTTATCACACGAACCACTTACGAATAATTCTGATAACAAATGTTACACGCCATAATTTTCAATGTGTTCGGTTTGAGGTTTGCCAAGATATGCACATATGTTTTCCCCATGTTAGCCCTCACTGTTGTGCTATCGTGTGATATCTGCAATGAGCACGCAGATTTATTTTTGTCTATTGGCAAAAGCCAGACAAAATCAGTTCAGATTTCAACCTTCAAAGTTTATATTCATTTTATTCTTAAAATAATTAGAAAATTCTTGGGATTCAAATTTTTAAATAATAATCCCATTTTTAAAATAATTCAAAAATAAATAGGGTGTTTTGAAACTCATGGCTAAAAATTTAAGGGGTGATAGAAAACATCTAAACAAGCAATTTTCACTATATAATGCATGGATGGAGAGCAAGTTGTGAAATACTAGATGGTGCTGCAATGGAAAGCACAAAGTGCAAGTTTTCTTATACACTGTCATTTCTAGTGTGGATTTCAGAAGGCATGTCAAAGTACAGTAATCAAGAAGAGGAAGGCATGCATTTTAAGTATGGTCTTGCAAATGGAAATGCTCTGGAAGACAAAAGACTGTACAGAGAGCGTTTTCTAAGAAGACCTGTGTCAGACAGAAAAATATTCATTTGACTGCAGTGGCGCATGTATGAAATGGGATCCTTTGTCACCAGCATGCATGATACAGGGCATGGCAAAAGTGTGTGGATGCCACAAGTTGTAGAGGACATTCTGCAAAGAGTGGAAGATTATCCAGATATTAGCATACGAAAGATTTTCCATGCCGTAAATGTGCTCCACTCGATTATTTGGCGAGTACTACAGGACGAAGGATTACACCCAAATTACCAAAAGATAAAAGGATATGTACAGAAAGGGGAAGCCTTGACACCTGCAGATTATGCACCACATGTCGAGTTTGCACATTGGTTTTTGCATCAGCTAGCAGCACAGTCTGATTTTAGTCAGATTCAGTTATTTACATAAAAATGCACCTTTACTCGTGAAGGCAATTCTAATACACATGATTGGGCATCTAGCAATCCTCACGACATACGTTCTCATGTACATCAGAAACATTTCGCCATAAATGTCTGTGCTGGAACTGGAATTGTGGGTGACCATTTGATCTGCCCATACCTTTTGCCATTACGAAGGGAGAGCAGAACATACCTCCCATTTATACAACAACAAGTATTGCCACAGCTACTTCAACTTGTTGCAGCCAACATACAAGCATGTATGTGGTTCCAGCACAATGGAGCAACCATTTCAGATTGGATGTGTGGATCACTTTAGATGCTGAATTTCCAAGGTGATGGATTGGTTGGGGCTGGCTGTCATGTTCACCCGACCTCTACTGTCTGGCCTTTTCCTGTGGGGCCATTCGAAAAGTCTCATATACGAAAGCCCCACTTACTCCGATAAGGACTTAGTTACTAGGATCTCTGTTGCTGTTAATGTCGTCCAAAAAAATGACATGTGTGTTTGAAAAATCACTTGTTATGTCGCAGATTTAACACCTGCGACAAAGGTAATCCGCAAGTAGTTGCTCTTTTGATCAGCTTCTGTAATTTTGCCACACTTGCTGTCAATACAATTATTTAGTACCTCCTCTATCCCTTTGGTGTTTTGTTCCTTCATGTCACTAACGGACACCTCCTAGAGGTTCACCAGTTGTTCTTCCCCATGCATCGTATAGTGAAAATTGCTCGTTTAGATGTTTTCTATTACCCCTTAAACTTTTGCTCATGAGTTTTGAAACACCTGTATTAATCATGTCAATAACCTTTAAATAATATCTTTACATTTGTTATCTAATTTTATTAAACACAATCAAGAAAAATTAAACTTTTTGATGCCAATCTAATTTTATTAAACACAATCAAGAAAAATTAAACTTTTTGATGCCATAAAATTTTATTCAGCTTCATAAAACATTTAATTTAAATTTTCAAACATTATTTTTATTTACTAGCATTTTTCTACATGATGATAACACAAAATATTTCTAGCTGCACTAATTAGAACCTTTTTTATTCACAAAACACTTAATGTAAAATTCTAAAATTCACAGAACTACTTGAGTTTTATTTTACTGAAGTGACTCTAATTTAACACAATATGATTGAAAGAAAATAATTATGAATCTGGTGGAGATTGATATTTTTATTTTTTTTAATTGATGAGCATAACATTAACAACAAAAAGAGGAAACAAAATTAATTTATCATGAGCACACTTCAAGCACATTCTACACACAGAAATTAATGACCTTCAAAAGCACTGGGAATGCACAATTGAAATAATGCAGGATTCCCCCCTCCCCACTTATGGAAACTGAAAGAGGTTATAAATAAATAATAAATTTTCCATTGGGGTCTGAGGCAGCAGGTAACCATCCTAATTGATTAAATTTTTACAATTTTTATGATAATTTAGCTCTTTGCAGATAATTTGATATTAGATGAGTGCTTGACTAGAGAAGACACCAATTTATTTTGCAATTGTGAGTGGATTAAAGTTAAATCACTGAAATAACAGTTACACAGTAGAAGATTCCAGGAACTTGAAGAATTACAAAATCACTTGATAATCCAAACATATCTTTATTACTTGTTGATTAATCTATGGCATGACACATTACAATGGTGCCAATCCACACCCCACAACTTTGATTATGATGCATTACATTTTTAACAACGAACAGAAGCAGCCAAGCAAGAGACATGCTTTAGATAACAAGCACAGGACCAAATGAAAGTGTGCATGTTTAATTCTGCACAGCGATCGGGCAAGAGTTTTCACATTGGGGTTACTGCAGGGAGGGTGACGCAAAGTGAACGACGGATGTGCTTAGACTGAAATCAGTAATTTAAAGGTCTATAGTCAATATGTTCCCAATACATTTAAGTTTGTTAATAACTTTCTATAACATTTTCATATCTTTATATATATATATATATATATATGTGGTTGATCTTTAGCCTGATATTTCTTTTGATATGGACTCAACAAAGTACAGATAATATTCCTGAGGAATATTAATATTAACCTACACTCACAAAAGGGCAACACTAAGTTTGTTCAAGCTCGGCAGCAGCATTTCTGAGTGCTCAACTGATTTTTGCACTTTGTCCCAAAAATATTCAATACAAATGAGGTCAAAGTACTGAGCTAAACATGGAAGCAATTTCTGACCAATTGTGCATGGTGACAAAGACCACTTCTGAAAACCTCAAAAAAAAAAAAAAAAAAAAAAAATGCAACCATAAACGAGTATATGTGGTGGATAATGATATCAACGTAAACTGTTAGTTTTAAGAACCATTCTTACACATAAGAGAAGACCCACTTTATTCTAAGAAAATATTCCCCAGACCATAATTTAAGCACCGCCTGATTGAAAAGTAGTCATTAAGGATGGGAAGTTCATGATTCTATTCTGTCTATATGCAATATGTATATTCTGAGCCTGCTATCTACAAGATGGGGCAGAAAGTGTATCATCAAACAAATCATCTGATCAAGCATCCTCCCCCCCCCATAAGGTTGCAAAGTTATATGAGTTATATAAAATAAAGTAGGTGTATGCAGATTATGAGAGAAATTTCTGGCACGGCCTAATATTTATATAACAATCTATCTTAACATAAAAATTTTGTATTCCAGATAATGCACATAAGATACTATTATAAATTCTTCACTTGGAAAAGTTAAAAATTGAAAGGTTTTGCTTTGTTTAGATCACAATATCAAGGAAACAGAGGAATTTAGGTTAATAAATACATATATTTGAATGTTTCCTCAGGTGAATTTCCCTCTTCTCAAATATAATAAATGATTGAAAAAGTAAACTGTTAGCAATGAACACATAATTGGGAATTGCATTTTTAAACATAAGAGAAAGGAAAAGGGAAAGTGTAAGAAGATGCTTATATTTAAGATTAGGAACAATTTAAAAAATGATAGCATACCGTATCCCATCGTGCCATCTGACGCTCTTTTTCAAATTTTGCAAGTTCTCTTCTATCGTGAATAGTAGTCAAAAGTTTCCATATCAAGAGCAAAGCCAGACCTACAGCAATAATACCACCAATCACACCCAGTACAATGGCTAGTATGTTCACAGGCTCAGGACAATCTGTAAATAAATAAAACCAAAGTATTTAATAAAGGTATTGTTTCAGAATATAACACATCATACAAAAAAGGGGGGAAGGTTGAAATGAAATATAGATGTTTCTTAAGTAGTAATAACAATTAAATTCAAGATGATTATGAATTTATTATTAACCAAGCAAAGAGGAAATACTTTATTTTTAATACCAATCACACAATTATTAGGTTTTAATATGAAAACACTTTTATTAATGCCACATCCATCTAATACTTTATGCTTGGAAAAAAAAAATTTTTTTTTTTTCTTTTGGTACTTATGTTTTTTTCCATCAACTGTAAAACTGTCACCAAGCAATATAGTTTAGAGGCAGTTTAGAACAAGCAAGAGGTAACAACACAGTCATAGCATACGTGCTTTTTTTGGTTGATGTAACCTTGACGGATTCTCGATAAGCTACGGTTTGCTTTTAACTGTTATTCCATTATTTTTCTTTGGCTTTTTTTTTAAAAAAAAAAGAAGAGAGAAAATGAGAGCAATAATGCTGTTGATTTAAAGATTTGAAATAAAAAACTTGAAACTAAAACATTAAAATCAATTACATAAGGCTTGGAAAATTTGTTTATTGCTGTAAATGAGGTTTAGTTTATATATACACATAATATTCACAAAATTTAACACTTTGAAATTCGCTGAGCTAGTGCATAAAAATGAACCCACTAAGTATCAGAGAAACTTTTGTCTATTATATAAAAAAAACGGACGGAAATAGCAGTGGTTTAGTAAATGAAGTTGTTCATAAGAAAAATATGACTTCGACATTAAAAAAGTTAAAGGCCTAGGATAGTTTATGGCTAAACTTCCGAATCTGACAAAGAAATAATCAAGCTAAATACATTCCTTGTTCAGCTCTAGTTTAAATTTTATATGCAAAATGCTGCTTTTAAAAATTTAAGCATACTTTTTAAAGCTGTACAGATAACATATTTTCCTATATCTAACAAATGAAAGGATGCCCTCTTGTCGGGTTTAAAAATAACACTAAAAGATCACATGGATATGCATTGGGCAACAAATACAAACCCTATCAAAGAATTATATCTACAAATATCGGATATACATTGATTATTGAAACATATAACATGAAAAGACAAATCATTGATGAGGGTGAACAGCATTTTGAAGGAAATCAGTTTCAAACTGAAATAAATAAAGCATTGCAGTCCAAAGTTGTAACTGCATATAAAGCCAAATTCTTAATAAAGGAATTATGTCTTTCTTTACACCAGATGAGAGAAAACATTTCTAAAAATATTCTTCAAATTTAGTTTTGAATAATTTTTTAGACAAATATAACAACAGGAATGGCAGGTTAATAATGCATATTATCAAGAATCAATTGATAGCAAAAATTAAAAGAAAAGTTAGATGTTTTAATTTCACAATAAAAATGGAGATACAAAAAATTTAATGAATTATCTTCAAATTTTTAATTTTTGATTAGAGGAAAACTAAAAGCCAAATAGGGTTAGCGAATTTAAAGGAAGCAGCTTAGCACTTAAATATCTAAATGCTATATATAAATACTACAGAAGCTCAAATAGAAATATACAGTTGCAAAAATTACATTAAAGTGCTTAAAAAAATCAGCAGGCTAAAAATTATATATATATATAATAAATTAGGAAATTTAGAACCAATTTTTCAGAAAGACCAAAAATTGAAATTCTATATACAGTACAAAGTCTTTAATCCGGAATCGTCGGGATTTCGGCAATTCCGGATTATAGATCATCAACTTAAATCTGGTAAGATAGCATGCAGAAATTATAAAATTAAAAATATGAAACCCTAATTTATGAAATAAAGAGCAATTATGATCTAAAAAGTATCAAAATTTACAAAAAAAAAAAAAAAAAAAAAAGCTTAACATTTATTTGTTTACTTTATTAAACATTTCTTTCAATGTAAGTTGTTTAAGTTGCTTTGTTTTTTGTGCTAATACTTTCTCTTTAATTCTATAAACAAACATAATTTCTTATTCAGTTTCACTGTTCAAAGTTCCGTAATTGCTGTGTCGAGAATACCGACTAACTTGTCAATCGAAAGTTTTTCGTTTTCAATAACCTCTCTGTCACTTTCTTCACTATTGGAAGCGGTATATCAGAACATGCTTTTGCTTTGTAGATCCTTTGGCAGCTGCAGAATCGGAAACTCTTTTTGACATCATCAAAAGTTCAAGCTTACTTTTTATAAAACTCCTCTAACAGTATGCAAAAAATAATAAGACGGATACAATTAGAAGATTAAGGAACAACGCAATCTGCAACATTAACTGAAATAGATAATTAGATAATTTTAGCCTAGCTTATACCATCCGTTATACATTAAACGCGCATGCGTAAAGGTATTATGCGCATGCGTAAACGCATAGATCATTCCGGATTATGGATGTCCAGATTAAAGACTTCGTACTGTACTGTTATTTGTCATGTATCAAAAAGGAAACTTTTAATGCTTGTAATTAAAAACAGTAAATCAATATATGTCTAATTTTTAATATACTGAACTATGATTAAATACTATTATAAAATTTATGGTATTGTGATTTTAAGTAGTTACATTAACTGAACGTAAAAAGGTACACCTTGCGCACATACACCAAAAAAAGGGGGGGACATTCCTATATCTCTCATTCTACAAGACCGATTGTCCAAATTTAACTAGCGTTTTGTTTTCTATGTTTCCAAAGCACGACTTAGGATATATATTAGATTTATATAAAGCATTGTTCTAACATAGGTATTTTGACATAAAATTGGAAATTTTCTGAAATAATATACCAATTATTTTCCACATTTCATTTCTATTTTTCATATTTCATTCAAATCATGCCTAGATATCAAATTTTGTAACTTTTGGTGAGAAATTTATGGACAAATTTAAATATTTGTCTTGGAGCATTTTTTCAGTTTGCACCAAGAATAATTTACTTGGTGAAATACTTAATTCATGGTAACCTACTTACTTTCCTTTTTTTTCATTGATGCAAGAATGAAAAAAAAAAAAGCATCTTTCTTCTCTCAAATAATTTAAAAAAATTGCATAAAACTCATTATCATTATTATTGTTTATAGCAAATACGCATAATTTCAAAATGTGCCAAAACGTAAATTTACATACATCTTAGGAAATTTTGAATAAAAAACTCTGAATTTTTTTCAGGTATGCTTAGATATACATCAGCTTTAAGACGATGGTAAAATTTTATAGATAATAAAATTTTTTTTTGAAAAATTTATAAAATTATTCAAAAATACAAATTTTAAAAACAAATCATAAAAAATGGGTGAATTTTATTTGGAATGAACCTAAATTTTGAAATGTGAAAAAAAGAATCAAATAAGTTTTATAAAAAAAGAAATATTAATAAATACATACCAAATCCAATTAACATGGAGGAACTAAAATTTTAAGAGCTAATTTTTTAAAAACTATTCATGCAATTTTTACAAAACTTGCTATATATAAACCTAATACATACTGTAAGTCGCATTTCCAGACATAAAAACACAAGTTCGGCAATTGGTCCAGTAGAATGGAAGATGCAGAACTGTCCCCCCTTTTTTTTTGTGCAAGGCATACAGATATAGGTAAATTGTACTGAATATATATATATATTTCTTCATTTTTTCTTTTCGACAATTTAAACTTCCTTTTACAAAGTAAAGGAGGTATTGTAATCACTAAAAATTTTAGATATCATATTTCAACAAAAATATCAATTTTGACTGCTATCAAACAAAATTTAATGACGTTTTTGTGCGAAATCTGTACATAAGGACAGAATAAAGGACTCTTTCTCCCAAACCAGATTGTAAAATGGATGCAGAAGACCATTTTTTCATGACACCTGTACATTATGTTTGTATCTCCCATAACTCAAAAATCAGTAGCCTCAGAAAGCTAAAATTTTGGCCATACCAAAAGTATATAAATCTATACATATATATTATTCACACTGTTACTCAGCTTAGTGAGCTCCTTTTTTTTTTTTTTTTTTTTTTTTTTTTTACTTCTTTGTACAAAGTAAAAAGGAAGTATTGTAATCGCGAAAAGTTTTGGGCAGCATATTTCAATGAAAATATCAATTTTCACTGTTATTGAATGCAATTTAACGATATTTTTGTATGACATCTGTACATAAGGGCAGGATAAAGAACTCTTTTCCCCAAAAAAATTGTAAAACTAATTTAAAATGAATTATAAAGAAATTTTTCAAGGCATCTGTGCGTATGTACGTACGTAGGTATCTCGCATAACTCAAAAACGAGTTGCCCCAGAAAGTTGAAATTTTGTATATACGACTGCTATAGCATGTAGATGTGCACCTCGTATTTTGGTTGCAATCGGCTGCACCAAAAGTATATATATATGCACTCTTGTTTCATAAGAATAAATTGAGTTTAATTAAAAAAATTAAATTTAAATACATATTTAATTAAATTCTTTGCACCATCGCTGCAAGGAATGAAATTTAAATTTAAACAAATTTAAATTCTTAACAAATACATATAAAAGTAAAAAAGTAAAAAAAGCAAATTTAATTCTAAAAAAGGAAAAAAAGCCAAATAATTTAAAATAATTTAAAACTATGCAAACATGTAAAAGATTAATTCTCGAACTAATCTACAATATCATTTAAATTCAGAAGCATAAGCAAATCAAGTGCAAAATCTATCCATGAAAATAAATCTATAATTTAATAAATTAAAATTAAATTAAACAATTTTTTTAAAAAATGCATATGTGAATGATCGTTAGAGTAGGCGGGAGACAGACTTATCAAGGGGAAGTTGCCTCCAAACCTAACTCTCCAATTATTCATTCGTGTTTCGTCATTCATGTAGGCAAGGGTAAAAGTCAAAACCAAAAGTAATTCCAATAAAGTGGTACCCTTAGAAATTAACATTTAAGAATTAAAGTTCAAAAGTTTCTAAGTTAAGAATTAAAGTTTTTTCCTTTTTCCTTTTTTTTTTAGAATTTAAATTAGCTTTTTTACTTTTATACGTATTTGTTAAGAATTTAAATTTGTTTAAATTTATATATGCACTCTGTTACTCGGCTCAGTGATCTCAGTTTCTTTATTCTTATATGTTTGTAAACTGTACATTTTTGCTTTAAAAATGATTGAATTATGTTCTTATCTTCCGGTTAAGGTTTTTTATGCCTTTAGTAAATCTGCAAGCAATATTTGTGGAGTTATCAACAATTTAAAAGTCGTTTAAGTGCAGCTGAGCCTAATGAATTTTGCGATGGTGGACATGTTTGTTTACATTTCCAACTTAGCAAAATAGCGGATTTGCTGCCAATCTAGAGAAACTAAGCTTCGCAACAACAAAGATAAGGCCTTCTTTTATTATTGCGAATTAAATCATGCTTAATCTCATTCAGGAATTTATTCGAGGAAATAAGTGTTTCAGATTTCCTTCGTAATTTTTAATATAGATATTTTGAGTTTTTATGTATTTTTGCCTTGTCAGGAAGTGAGAACTGAATTAATTGAATGAGAAATACTGAATTGACTGTGAAAAACTGTTTCTTTTTTGTTTTGTTTGCTTAATTTCTTTTATACATCATTCTAGATTTATTATAGTATTTGAATAGAACATTTGGCAAAAATTAGATAATTCTTCAAATGATAGAAATTTTGTGCATTCTGAGTTATGAATGAAATATAATGCTGCTAAGTGAACCTAGTGCCAGAGTATCACTATGGTAAACAAATATAGTGAATTTTAAAGAGTGCATTTATTCTATTGTGGTTTATGCGCTATCGACAGAATAGATTTAATTCAATCCAATAAGTTTAAATGAAATGCAAGAAAAAATGTGTATCATTTAATATTCCATACTAGTCATGAGGTGTACACATCAGATTTTTTAGATTTTTTAGTCTTATATGTTGATAAATTATGCATTTTTTGCTTTAAAAAATAAATGAATTACATTGTTCTTATGTTTCGGTTAAGTTTTTATGCCTTTAGTTAATCAGCATGTAATAGTTGTAGAATTATCAACAATTTAAAAGTTGTTTAAGTGCGACTAAGCCTAACAGAAGTGGGACCAAAAGTAAACTTTCAGTTTTTTGCACCTAAAAATCTGGTGACCAAATTGCTTGTTTCTGCGTAGAAATTCTAATTTTAATGGAAAAATTGTTTAACTGGTTTTAAATGTATTTGGTGTTTTATGTTTTTCTGTATTTTACAATTTTTAATAAATGTGTTTTGACTTTTTATGTATTTTTGCCTTTTTGGGAAGTGAGAAAATGAAAAATATATCTCTAATGAAATTTGAGAAAATAAGATTAAATGAAATGCAGCAAAAAAAAAAAAAAAAAAAAAAAAAAAATTGTGTACAATATTATAGGCTGTACAAGGAAATCACGCAACATCCACATCAGATTTTTTTTCCTATAAACACACAACATATAAATTTTTAAAACTGAATGTTACAACCATAAGAAATATTTAAAACTAAATGTTTCAATTTTTCCATGGTATTTGAAACTATATGCTTTACAAAAGGTCTCCATGTTCAAGATAGAGAAAGAGAAATTAAAATTTTGCAAGATACAGAAATGTACATAAATATCCAATTAAAAATAGTGACGAACATTTTTAGCACAGCTGTACAGAAAATATTTTAAAATATTTAACAATGCTTACAATTTGCATTTCAAAATCCGCAAATTCCCAAAAGAATTACTAAAAATATTTTTTTAATAAAATAAAATTTTCTTACCTTTGGTCCTTTGAGCATGAACAATAGGCAGATCTTCTTCATCCAGCTTGTATTTGAAAGTAAACTGACAATCTCTGTCATCTCGGAAAACACAAAGCTTCTCGTTTTCTTCTTCCTTCACTAAAAGCAACAGATCAAGAAAATATATATATTTTTGATATTTATATCTTACTGAATCATAATTGTTTATCTACACATTAAACTGCATTTTATGGAGTCAACTGATTTTTTTTGGAGGGGGGGGGGCTTGTTCAAAATCAGTAAATTCAAGATCTTACATAATCTGTTTATGTACAGTGTGTCCATAAAATCATGGTGCACTTTTGATCGGTCACAGGAAAGTAACAAAACAAGATAGAAATGTGAAATATTCACCAAGCAAAAGGAAAACTCTACAAGTTTCCGCAGTCTGATGTGGAAGTGTGTGTGTGCACACAGGTGATGACGCAATACTGCGAACTGCGAAGCAGCAGATCAGCCCGCCCATACCAGTTGAGATGTGGACCGTACAGAGGAAAGTTCAGTGTGTTCTGTGGCTTGTCAAATTCAAATCTGTAACCAAAGTGCAACATGAATATCGCCACATGTATAACAGACTGCCACCACATAGGAATAACATTAATCAGAGGGATAAGCAGTTGAAGGATAGCGGCAGTTTGTTGGACAAACCCTGTTCTGGCAGGCCATCGGTCAGTGAAGAGTCTGTAAAAGCTATACGGGAAAGTTACCTAAGAAGCCCTAAAAATCCAGTGCATGTGTGGGCTTGACAATTGCATCTAAGCAAGACAACAATTAATAAGGTGTTTAAAGAAACATCTACATGTAATGGGTTACAAACTGCAGCCGTTGCACTCTAAAACCAACAGATAGACCCAAAAGATTTGCATTTGCTACATATATGTTTCATGAGATCGACAATGATAACCGATTTCTGCAGAAGATTGTGTTCAGCGAGGAGGCAACTTTCTATGTTAGTGAATATGTTCATCGCCATAACGTCCGAATATGGGCTGCTGAAAACCCTCTGGTTTACGCACAGTATGAACATAACAGCCCTAAAGTGAATGTGTAGTGTGGCCTTATGCATGCTAAAGTGATAGGACCATTTTTCTTTGCTAAGCAGACTGTGATGGCTGGCAACTACCTTGACATGTTGGAAATGTATGCAGTGCCACAATTTCCAGAAGGTGTCATCTTTCAACATGATGGTGCTCCTCCACACTATGCCAATATTGTTCACGAGTTTTTGGACACAACATTCCCCCAGCGGTGGATAGGCAGGGGTTGTGTCAATCCATGGCCACTATGATCCCTAGATCTGACGCCCTTGGATTTTTACTTGTGGGGTTATGTGAAGCAACATGTGTTCAGTGAACATATCAATGACATTATTCATTCAAAACAGAGAATCACAGGCGTTGTTTACTCTGTTACACCAGATGTCCTTAACCGTGTATGGGAAGAACTTGAGTATCATTTAGACGTTTGTCAGGCAAAAAATGGAGCCCTCATCAAACTGCACTATGATTTAAAACTTATCATAGTTTTCTATAGTTATCAAAGTTTTATACCTGAGTAACATTACTCAGATATAAAACTTTAAGAGGTTTTTCTTTTGTTCGGTGAAGATTTCACATTTCTATCTTGTTTTGCTGCTTTCCTGTGGCCGATCAAAAGTGCTTCATGACTTTACAGACACATTGTACCTTATACACGTCTACATTCATATTCCTACATACTTTAAATTAGGATTTCTCAAATTTTTTTCACTTATCATTCCTTTCATCTGATAAATGCATGCATTACTGTATCAATACAGCATCAAATTCAGTACAAATATGTTATGGAAAAATAAGGAAAGTGATATAAGCAGCTAAGATAATGAAATGAGAGGTTATAGGTAAATGGGCTAATTCGAATTTTCTGATTGGACATTAGATGCATTATCTGTTTATCTTCTGTTGAGGAACTGAAACTAGTCATGAGAAACCAAGGTTTTGTTTGAATGAGAGAAAATAATGTCAGATGCTGCAGACATTAATGCAGCTGAAGTCTTTTAAAAGTGGAAGAGGTTTCAGAATTGCAGATTTTGGGTAAAAATATTTATTAAGTTATAGAAAGTTGCTTCCCCTTTTTTTTCTTTGTCCAACAACTATGTCCTATGTTTCTATGTCCAACATGGCTCCTGCAAGCCACTTGTGATCACACAGTTACAGAACAACTTCTACAGAATAACTGTAAATTTCAATCATAACCTTTCTTGCTACCTTAGCTTGTTTAATCATAGCACAACCTTTGCTAATTTCTTATATTTCTTCTCAATTCATTCATTCTAATCTTCATATGAGCTACAGTACTTCTTGCACAGAACATTTCTGTCAACAAGGTCATGTTACTAAGTCTTTTAATCATATATTTAAGGCTTTATTTGGTCTTTATTATGAATGAGAGACACCATTTGTCCTAATGCTTGAGAAGAACAAATAATTCTCAAATGAGACTCTCTTTTTAATGCTATTAGAGGCTACTTTTTCCTACTGATGTGGGCTATCACATTAATGCAGTATATTCAAGCCACACATATGAGATGTATAAAATATTTTCCAAATCACTTCCACCAACTTTGACAGCACTTATCATACAGTCAGGATTTATTGCTTCATCCTGTTCAAATTACTTGCCACCCTGATTGGACGGTGATTGTATACTAGGGCCCAACTTTGAATCGTTGAGAAGACATGGATGTTAGTAAATGCATAGGGTCTAAGCAGCATAGGCACACTTAAAATACTGACTAGACAAAATTCTTCGAGTGGCTAGTTTGTAGGGGGAAAAAAAACTGAGACAGTCATGGGTCTGTTCCCCAGGGTGTGCTCTACCAAAATTGGTATAGAATAATATAGTTAGTACAGTGGGATAATATTTGAGAGTTCATTTAGTGAAATTTTGGTGTCCCAACTGTTTTTTCCTGTCTCGTTTATATCATATACAGTTTCACATCACATCCTTCAGCCAGATACAACGGAAACTAGAACTTGTCAGACAAATATACTTTCATCTAGCCTACAATGTTTTAACTAGTAAACATATAGTTTAACATGGGTCAAAATATAGCACTTTATTTGCTGAAGTAGTCTTTGGTACAAAATGTATGTCTGATAAAATGTCTCCTACAGAATATCAGAGGTACAAGTATATAATATTTAGCATTATTATACGGCAGCCTGGCTTAGCACTCCTACAAAAATATTGTGATTTAATTAATGAAATAAATAAGTACATGTGTACATATCTATATATATAAAGAGAGAACTATATAGTTATTACAGCCTTGTTCAAAAATATATATTTTCTATGCAGTATATACATATTTAAACAAAGTGAGAAGTTTCTAAATTTTAATTCCATTTGCAATACCTTTACTAAAACAATTTCATAGATTATATAAAATGTTTTAAAATTAGTCAAATTCTACCTCGGATCAATGCTAACTTTACAGAAACATTGAAAGCATAATTAATTAATAAAATACAAGATTAAATTTTGTTACTCTAAGTTTGCATGCTTTTTTTATACCTGTTGCATATTTATCATTATGAAACAAAATCTAATACGATATAGAGGCAATGAATATAAGCATATTTACCCTCAACCTTATCTACTCCTATTGTGATAAAAGAACAAGCTGTGCAATTTTCAGGAGGAACATCATTGTCATCTGGGAATATTTGACATTCAACACATTCTCTGAATGCATCACATTTCAACGGACATGTCTGAAAAAAGTATATTTTATGTAATATAATGATAGCAGATAATGATCTTTGCTTTGCTTTCTCACAAACAAAATTCCTTTTTCATTAGATGTATTAAAATATGCAATAAAAAAAACCACTTTCAAACAATACAACATTACTCATTAAACTTAAGATTCATCTAACAGTCTTCAGCTAAATGCATTCAAAATATAAAGGCCATAAAATATATCTACTGAAAAACCCTGAAGCCTAAAAATGCCATTCTATAGCTTTTTAATCTACTTACAGTATATCATACTAAACTAAGAGGAATATATGAATCAATTCTAATGTTTTTAAATATCTGGTTGTAATGAAAGTTTTCCACCCAAAAATGTTCTCAATAAAGTTAGGGGGGAAACACGAAAGTAGTATCTTTAGTGCGGATAGTAATCACCACCCCAATCTATGATTTTCTGCCAGCATTTTGATAGTTTTTTAAAGCCTTCAGTCCAGAAACTTGGTGGTAATGGGTTCTGAAACAAATCAACCTCACTTCGGACATCCCATGCAGAATGGAAGATAGCACTAGCAAAATGTAGCTGCAATTGTGAAAAAGGATAGAAATCCAAAGGAGCGATGTCAGGACTGAGTCCATACAGACTCACGTGGTCTTGCATTATCTTATTAACCTTTTTGCATTGGAACTCAGTCCGACATTTTCCCTTGATAGCAGCATGAACACGGACTAGCATCTCCCTGTACACCTTTCTGTAGAAGGTTTTGCCTTTTCCAGATACTCTTTGTGGATAATATCATGGCAATCCCACCAAATACAAAGCATGATCCTTTTATTAGTCAAATTGCGCTTTGCAATGCTGCCGATGGGCTCATCAGACATAGACCAGCCCCCTTTTCGAACTGTGTTGTTCCACTTTTCATCACAAGTGATGATCCGGTCCAGAATTTTGTCCTGATTTGTGTTGATATTCGAGCAGATTAGTGCAGGCTCGAACATGTCTATCCTTATCTGCTTGAGTCAGCTCATATCGTACACAGAGATTAAGCTTGTACATCAAGTTTATGGAATGCACAGCATAAGTGGCAATAATGCCTAACTCCTTAGCAAGCTCTCGAGTGGTTGCATACTGATCTTCTTCCAAAAGTTCTCGCAGGCACACCTCATCAACATCAGTAGGCCTGCCAAAGTGCTCTGCTTCTTGAATGTCGTAATTCTTGTTTTAGAACTTTCGGTGCCAAACCTTCACAGTGTCATACCATACAGCATTAGTACCTAAAGCCATACACATGATTTGGTGATATTAAAGAGAACTGGAAATAAATGATGGCCTGTTTGGATGGAAGTAAACTCCTGCCCATTTTAAAAGTAGCATCTCCATGGTAATAAGTTGCAGAATGGCACACAGTTTGAAATTGTTTAAAACTACTTAACACATAATTTAAAAAGCAAAATTATTGACTGTTAAAAAAACATGCCATAGCACGAATTCAAGTTAGAGTGGTATTTCAAAAATAAAATTATTGTTTGCTACAAATGAGCCAGATTTAAGGATCCTAAAATCCACTGATGGCTCACAAACCATGCCTGATGAATATAATAAATCTTATAATATTTAAAACACCTTTCCAATGCAGTGTCCTAAAAATAGAAGAAAAAAATTGCTATGATATTTCACTGAAAATTATGCCACAAGCACTTGGGTACTTATTTTATAAAGAAAAGAATTATTCAAAGTACAGCTGTGCATTTATTTCTCTGGACTGCTTGCCACAAATATTTCCCTCGGGTAGTAATACATTTTATTTTGCCAAGCCACAAAATCTTAAAACTGAAAACAAGCATTTCAAAGATACTTCCTTTAAGGTACTTAATGAGCATATGTAAATAATATGCAAAATAAAATACACTTAAACAAATTCAACAACTCATGATATATTTTTCATGTCAATATTTATTATACAGTTAAAACTAATTTCAGAATCATGGAAGAAGTCACTATGAAATAACAATCAAAAATTTATTTCCAACCCTCAATACAGAACTGAAACCCTATATCACAGAATAAAAAGTTTTTAAAATCATTGAAAATGGGCCCCAAAAAATATACTTATTGACAAATCATGAAATTAAAGCACTGTAATGAGCTCAAATAATATAAAGAAAACTTGCATAGGATTTCAGAACAGTTTGAAATGCAAAAGATACATCTTTCCAAGAGTTGCATAAAAGCAAAATTCATATCAATATTAATTCAGATTTTTTAAATGCTGAATATTAAACGACGATGTTTTAAAACTCTCTCGTAATTTATTCCCCCTCCCCCAACTCTCAGTGAATATAATTTCTTATTTCAAATGAGTACCATTTTAAGAAATTCTAAAAGCAATTTATTATTTTATTAAATGAGAATAAATACATCTACTTTAACTTATGGTAAAAAAATTTAATCATATTTATCAACTGATCATAATTTTTTTTTTTTTAATTCTGAGAAGGAAAAAGGAGTATATGATTATATTTACAGGACAACGTTCACAGAAAGTTCCACTGTATCTTCCTTCTTCTAAGTCATAACATTTACAAATCCCACATTCACAATCACCATGGCCACTGCATATTTTCTATAATTAAGAAAAACAAGAATAAAGTGATATGGATTAACAATTAGTTATTGAAATTTTATGTATGGATTATAAAAATAAAATAACACACTTTTTTATCAAAGAATACATCATAAAACAACATATGTAAATGTAAGATGATATAAATGATGAAGTTTATTGCATCAAAATAGTTCTTTACGATGACAAAATATTTGGAAGAATTGCTGAGATGAAGATTTGTTAGTTGTTTAGAAGCTCTGTTATGGAAATAGCAGAATCAAGACAGATGGCCTCTACCCTCAAGAAACAATTTAAACATTGCAAATTTTTTTGAAGGCCATGAAGTAGTTGTAGAAGAACAATAACTGCTTTTCAGTGGCAATATACATAAAATGTCACCACCTTTAAAATATTTTAAATTATGTTTATCTCTTTTTGATTTGGTTTCAGAGACAAAATGGCACTCATAGCACATGCCCTACCTGCCATACCTAGAAATGCCTCTGACGCTTTTCAAACTGAGTCCACAGCTGCTCACCACAACAAGAACTTGACAGCTAAGATTTTCTATTTCAGGAATATCATAATAACATAGAATCTAACTAGAGCAGAAAATATCAAAATTGGAGTTTTATAAGATCCCTTTCTCCTATCACCCCAAACCAATCATCTAATAACATTTTTAAAGGGATGTAGAAACAGGAAATCTTTAAAGATTGTATACCTTTTTTTTAATTAAAAATTCCCTTTTAATGAGATTTTACTCGATTTCAATTTATTCAGTGCGCTATCAAAAATTATTACAAAAGCAGTGTTTGACAAATGTACCACAGGTTGCTAATACAGGCCTTCCTGCACTGATGAATTGTAAGTCCTCACTACATTTTTGGGTATTTGGTATTCTTATGGAAATTATTTCCTCAGTCACAATTATACAGGATCCTTACCCTAAACAAAGAAAAATAATAATTTTTCTACTAGGCTTTTATTTTTAATTAAGAAACATAACATTAAGTGATGAAAATTATTAATTTTTCAGTTAGGATTGGATTTTTAATTGACAGCGGTAACAAAGAAAATTGTACCACAGAAATAATCTGGTGAGCTAATAAGTATTTCCCCTAGTTACAGTTAGCATGGAGCATATTAACTGCCAGCAGTAATGTTTATTTTGCAAAAACTACACATAATAACAATTAAACTACACATAATAGTTTGAAAAGCATAAAATTATGCTTAAGATATATATAATGCATAGAATTTCTATTTTAGATCCTATTTTAAAATTATTCTTGAGACCAGTTTAAAAAATAAGTATGTAATAATAAACTGTATGTATAATAAAACTTTCTAGATTATATATGACAAAAATTTGATATAAAATGCTTTAAGCTGTATACTGTATTGTATAGCTGTGGTATATTAGTAAAATTTCACATAAAAATGTATTAAAAATATACCCCATTAGGAGCTAAACATGTATCATTGGTATCTCTGCAACCACAATCAGACCCTTTCCATCCTGGTTTGCATTTGCATTTACCACAGTCACATTCTCCATGATCTGGACCTGTAAAAAACATACAATTTGAACGGTTTATAGCAGTTAATATTTCATCACAACTGACTACCTATTTTATCAGTCAGCCTAATTCTAAAGAGTCACTGAAAAACATGTGATTAGAAAACTGAAAATAAAATACACAAACCAAAATTTAATTTTGATTACAGAATAACCCAAGCATTAGAATCTTACTCCTCTCATTTTGAATTAAGACATTTAACAAGAAAGTAATATTTTTGAAACTACATGCTATACTTTCATACTCTGGAATACATCCTGCTCATCATTAAAACTGCAGAATCAAAAGGAACAAAAACCACATTTATTTTACAAAAACCATATATTTAGAAAAAACATATTTATTTTACAAAACAAAGATTAAATAACAATAAGACCGTCTTATGGTAAAGAATATACAGGTGAGTAATATGTGTAGCCACTGTTTTATAATGACAGTTGTTTTTTTACAATCACAGTTGTTTGAACATTGTTTTACGATTATGCCAAACCATACAGCAGCAGTAACTATACTATACAGTTCAGCATAGAATTGGATAGTATGAGCCCAACTGTGTAGCCCAGTTGGGTTCATAGAATATGAGAATTCTGATTGCAGTTATGAATACTGTAATACATGAAGCGTCAATTTTTTGCTAGAATTCACCTGTTGTAACAGCTGGTAATTATGGTGCCAGTCTCTTTACAATAACGAGTTACATTTGTTCAGTTTGTGAATATATTGGGCAGAGAAAAAGTGATTCATGTTATCTATAATAATGGATTTCAGAGGAATAACTGCAATCATAATAACTATTTTACTGTGTCTTATGTGTTATGCAATTTTGATATCTGATTGAACATTTTTGGGGCAAATTTAAAATTACACTTTGTTAAACAATTTTATTTATTTTATCATATTTAAATATAATGCTTCCTTTATTTAGAAAATTTCATTTCAGTAATTTTTGTATTTAAATGCACTTTCTTTTGTTATACTTGGTGAAATTAGGTCCCAAAGGAGCGCAGTGAGCAATGAAGTGATGGAACATTTCTTAAATGTGTTATCTTTCTGTACATAATGCATTTGTGGCCCAGTAATATACACAGTGTGCTCCAAAAATGATAATACACTAAAATGAATCAATAGATCTTCATAACAGGATCCCAACTGGAACTGTATTATGCAAATTACAGATTTTCAAATAGCCCATCTTGACTCCAAAGTGCCATGTATCTATACCAAAACTTTGAACTGAAATTATGCAGCATGATAAAGTACAATGTACCATTGTTACGACCTAAGTTTTTGCTACCAGGATGGGCATTACAGTCTTTTTGCAGTAGCAAGATTATTGCTGTAGGATAAACCAGAAGAAATTCCAAAATTCAGTGTGATCATTTTTGAAATATATTAAAATAATTCGAAATTGACTTTTTTCTTTCATTATCATTTAGTGTCTTTTTTTTTTTTTTTTTTTTTTTTTTTTGTGTGTGTGTGTGTGGTGTGTGTGTCTGTATGTTGTTACTTACTCTTGTATGACATTCTTTAACTTATAATTTTGTTCAATGTAATAATGTGTAAAGAATACAAGTAATTTATAAGTTTTAAAATGGTAAAAATAATCTTTATTCTCATGCAATTTCATTAGTTTAGCATCATAATATAATACATGAAAATGTTTATTAAATTAGTTAATAATTTAAAAAACGAACAAAAACAAAATCTGAAATGTTTCAGATTTTAAATTACGTCCAAAGGGGCGTTTTTTAACATTTTGTGTGTTACCTTTCTTTATTAAATATCATGTTCCTCGCACTTAAACCATAAGATCCAGTGCAACAGCAATATCGCAAAATAGTTTTAAAACGAGCATATCTTTAGAATTTCCGATACAGAGACTCACGCGCTGGGAGATAAAATGTTTTTTCTGCACAACGTTGCCATTGCTCGCTTTGAAATCCTTGAGTTTGTAATCAAAAATTCGTCAAAGTTTTTAAAAAATAGGAAATCGATCATAAAAACAAATTTCAAATTTGGGCTTCCACATGCTCATATTCGTTGGAGGATACGTTTTACTCAAAATTTGATGACTCTATGTACCGTTGTTGTTTTATCACAATACGAGAAATATACATACATTTATGCAGATTTTCATTATTCAATTTCTTTAAATATAATGCAGGACTCTAACATTTTGTGGCAACAGTTTGAAAAGTGAACCGACATTTATGAGTCCGACGCAAAATGCCAAAACGAAACTAATAGTCCTTTGGGATTCAAATCCCTTTGGACTAATATTAAACTAAAATAATTTTTAAACAGTTTTTATTTTTAAACCATGCATACATGGGTTGGCTATGTGCCAACATTGAAGTCTTCTACTTTTTTCAAGAATAAGAATACTATACAATTTTGAAAATACTGAATCAATACTTTTCGTGGCAATCTCCAGACCGATAGTCATTACTTAACCTATTAACATCAGAAAATTTTTAAACTGGTGTTTTAATTTTAATTCTGCATGAATACAAACATTTGGTCTTCAATATGTACAAACTTTGAATAGTATTTCAAATTTTAAAATTAAATAAATCAGTTTTTGTCATATGGGAGGTCCAACTTTTTATGTTTTATTTTTTGAATAAACTTCATAATTTTAATATGAATGCTTACTAAATATAACTATAGGGACCAGAAAACCTTATGAAAAGTTGGATTTAATAATTTTCACAAAAAATTTTAATTTAAAAATATTATAAAATGAATACCTTCCTTATTTAAAACATTTTCTGTAACTGGAAGTATACATCTATGATCAAGAGCTGTGGAAATAAGGACTTACATGGACACAGTACATAGTCAAAATTTTAGGTCGGTCTTCATCATTTTGCATTTTAATAGTTAACAGTTTATACATAAAATTCAAAATATCATTATTTTAAATTTATTGATAACAGTAATATACAAATTCTGTTGCAGTTAATTTTTAAAATGCTACAAAATTTAAGTGTCATAAAAATTATACACCTACCACTACAAATTTTTCCATCAGATCTATCACAAGAATAATTATCACATTCACAAAATTGTCCAGTTACTTTTTCTTCTGGGTTCTAAAGAAATAAAATAAACTAATCAGTATATAAAACAACAAATATAAAAATAATGAGTTTAGATTATTATACATTTTTTGCATGATTATTTTTGCTTTAAAATTCCATCTTATCACAAAATCAACATAGGTTTTATGCTACTCATAAGCGACACACCATTTGTTGATTGCCTAGCAAAAGGCAACAACACGATACTTTTAACAGATTAAGATAGCATTTTAGAATTCCTTACTACTGATACATTCAAGACTTTACAAATTATTAATTATTATATAGTCATATTTTTAAACAACTGAAAATAATATACATTTCACTTTTTCTCTCTATACTTTAAATTTCTTTGAATATTGAGCCTGAATATTGCAGTGTATATGGAATAAAAACATCTCCCACTTGTCACTATATTTTTATTCATACAGTCATGTCAGTTTATGGCAGAAACAAATCCCTGTTAAGCTGACTCTTGTGATCCCTGTTATACCTATTCAAGAGACTCCCATTTTACTCACGAGACCTTTCATCTCACGAGTTAGGCTGTTTTCTCTTATCAAAATATGTTTAAAAAGGTCAGCATTTTATAATGACTCAAGATCCAAAATGATGCAGCAGCTAGTGTATGACATATATCAACATAGGTATTTTCTCAATACTGACACAATGCTGCAGTGTACGTGTTTTGATGCTGTTAATTTGAAGGTGACTAGCCACTTGAAGGTTATAATATTTTACATTTTAAGGCAAATAGCCTCTAAAGAATTTTTTGCAAAGTTCTCTAACATAAGAGTATATTAAGATTTCAACAGATAAAATTGTTCAATAACACTTCTATACTAAACTGAACTACAACACTGTAATTTTTTAAGCATACTATTGAAACTGAGTGCCTTACTGTGTTCTAACAGTATAAGCTGTCTTACAAATAATTTATCATATAGAAATTAATGCTTATTCTACAAACAGCTCATTTTTAATCATTTATATACTTATGCTACATCTAAAAAATGAACCTTCATTACAGTTTACGAAATAAAGTTCTATAAAAACACAGTTTTGGACCTTGTAATAATTGTGGCCATCATTGATTGGATCTCAAATCAAACAAAACTTACAAATAAGCAACATCTCCATATTTAAATGAGACAAGTTTGCACACATCTTTTAACTATTTTTTTTCAGATATAAGCCTCTTCAAATCCCAACATTCACAAACATTCAATAAATAATATAAAATATACACTTTAATAAATAAACTTAACCTTGATAATGAAAAATAATCAATAGTCAGTCACAAATCATAAATGCTAATCAAACAGAATGTAAACCCCCATAGAAAAAAGTCCAATTTTGTCATTTTCAAATTCAAAAAATATTCTGATGTAACCAGAGATAACCTATCAAATGATAATAAAAAAATTCCCTGAAACAAACTACAATCAGAATAAATGATAATGAACTAACTTGTCGCTTAAAGCATTCACATTCTCCGCATCGACAGGCTCCTCTACCAGAACATGGTTTTGTATCATTTCCACTACAAAATAAAAAATAAAATCCTCCAATATATTCCTTGTAAACAGCAATTAGTTACAAAAATTTTAACAAAGAGTTTCTATTTTACAACAAAATATAAAATTCCAATTAAGAGTTTTAATTTTTTACAAAAACAGAAAATGTAAATAATTATGCATGATTAACATTTTAAAAACAAACAAAAACTGTTTAAAATACAAAAAAATTATAAATATCCAAAAATTACATAAAATAATGAATAAATTTCATTATGTGGCAGAATTTATGCCAAAAAATGCCATATTTTATTATTTTCTTTCACATCAAAGGGTTTTCTAAAACATTCCAATGCCAAGCTAAAAATCTTGCATTTTCAAAAAAATTTTACATAAAGTTTATGACAAAATTCTTTTAACGATATGCATTTTCCAGCATCTAATAAAATTTTATCTGTAATGTGTTTGTCCACTTAAACCATAGTCGATAGATAAGAATCGAATTCTTAGAGAGACTAACATATGTCTAAGCATGATTATGACACACAAGATGTATTTCTCTTGGATTAAACAAACAAGCAAACAAAAAGAAGAAGTGATTTGCAAAGGGCTCACATCAGCCTCCTAAAGCTCACCACTGCTTATACATACATACTATTCAAGTTCTAGGTGTAACAAGCAATCCCCCCCCAAAAAAAAATCATTAGTACACAGATCAATTAACACTTTTTTAACCAAACATATTTGCATGCATTTACTATTTTAAATGGGGTATTTTTGTAATGCAAGAATTTAATATGATATAAAAATCAACACACAGTAAGAAAAGCAGCATGTTAATTGCCAAAATCCTTTAACATGATAAGAAAAATTATATGTAACTAAGTCTCCTTCATTTACTGAAAGCATATACAAAATCAACAGTATTTTTAGCTTAAAAGAAGCATTTCTCACTCCCATGCCCATATACCAAGTGAACACAGAAACAAAGTTTCTTCAGCTTTAATTCAACAGATTTTTAACATGCTACAGCAATAATTTTAATTACAAAAACACAAATAAATTAAATCTGACCCCTCTCAAAAAAAAAAAAAAAAAAAAAAAAAAAAGGGGGGGGCGGTTACACACAACATTAACTTTTATATGAGCTGATTGTTAAAAAGCTAAAAATCATACACCACTTACTAATAACAACCAATATCATCTGTAGCCTGATCACTGTCTTTTGCATCACATTCACATTCTCGACCATACCTATTATTGTAACAACTGCACACTCCACATTCATAAGTTCCATTTCCAAAGGTACATTTTGGACTATTTCTTTCCTAGGTAATAAAATAAAAATTTAATAACAAATATTTTGGCTTTTCTATTCATTAAATAATTGATTTAGTGTATAAATTTTAAGACTTTTTTTAACATTTTGAACAGTATTGCAATTGCAACTCACTTCATTCCATGGTTTTTCACATTCACAGTCACATATCATTTCAAGATGAATAGTCATAGCTTCATTCAAACCAACAGGATATATCTGGAAAGTCTGATTCCATTCTTTAGGATCTTTCGGACATGAAGTTACTTCAATATTGGCTTCAAATGTAACCTAACATCATTAAAATTATTGAATACAAAATAATATTTTCAAAAACAAAGAATAAATACAAATTACATTAAAAGGAGGAAGAATAAAATACTAACACTTGTGCCAACTTTTAGGCCTTTGCAAATATTTCTTTTTTCTTTTTTTCCACTGTAAAAGTAAAATATAAAAACAATAAAAATAACCCAAAACCAAATTTTATGGCAGCAACAAAATGCATAATGTCTTTCAACAATACAGGAAAATGTTTTAATGTTCTTATCTGCAATGATTTTATTCACATTTGCATAACAACATAAAAAAATTTGGTACTATTTGGTTTCGAGGGCCATAAAAAATTTCCAAATTATTGTTGATGCCAATGCTGCCAAAAATAATTGCGGCAAGAAAGTATAATAGTAAAAAGCTATTTAAGATTGATGTTTTAATTTAGATGAAAGGTTAATTTCATATAATACTTTTTTATTATTATAATTTATATGAAAAAGGCTAAACATGACTGAATGGAAGCATAAGAGTAAATAACTATTTCAGATCATTATTATAATTTATATAAAAATTGCTAAACATAACTGAATGGATGCCTGCATCGCTATTTCGCTATTGACTAATTGCTAAAGCATAATTTCATCTCATTGTTTGTTCAAACGTAATTTTCTATAATGAATGATGCCTTTTCTTTGAAAATATTCTCGGTAAAGTGCAGAATCGCTCACTTATTTGCGTGCCGCTTTTTACAAGACTAAAATCAATTGGATTTTTGTCAACTTTCTTTTACTTTTTAAGTGAAAATAGGTCAACGTGTACATAGATAAAGGGTGTGCGCAGTGCCATTTTTGTGCAATTCTAGGATTTTTTTTAACCCATTAACCGCCAAAACTACAAGGAATGTTTCTTTTCTCATGAAAATAATAACAAATATTAAATTAAGCATTTATAACATAAATTTACATTGAAAATAAAAAAAAAATGCTCTTACCTGTGGAAAAACTGAGTGTTAGGTTCGCGCAACATCAGCGGAAAAGACTATGGATGTTTAGTGAGTAGGATTGTACTCCTGTGATGTTTCTTTTGAGTGGAGCGCAGGATTACTTTTTAGCTGAATAACGTTTTATAAATCTACAAATCACTTTACTTGTAATTAATTTAATATTAAAATATACATCGTATTTCTTTTAGATTATTTCAATTGAAACGTTCAAGCATGAAAACTTGATTACAATCATGATGTAAAGCTACATTACATACTTTGCATCTATAAACAGTCTGGCTATGGTACTCTTTACAACAAAGTTTTTTGTTATGTCTTTTGTAAACTCCATGCAATGGTTTTTGAATACTGAATTTACTAGGTCTTCCTGTTGCTGATCCATTTCTGCCTAATTCTACACTCTCAATAGGAGTTTGCGAAAGGAATAATGCATTCTCGCGTCTGAAATCTAAAACAGACTTTATATTTCCAGTAGTAAAAAGTGGTGATATTTAGTAAGTTTAGATACGGTCTCACCTCATATAAGTTATCAGTATTGTCATTTGACTATTGTCAAATGCAAATTCTGCTTCATATTCCTGTGCTGCAAACGTGATATCAATTCTCGTACAACAGGAACAGAAATGTCCATATCAAAAGAGCAATACATTTTTTTTCTTGAGGTAAAGAATGATATCCTGTAAGCAATAATATTCCAATAAATCTTCTCATATAGGCTTCAGATGCAATAAATTCTGAATTTTTTTTTTTTTCTGAGCGTATATATTTGTTTGTTCAGCGAGAAGAGAGTAAATGTCTAAACCAAAAAGAAAATCGAAAATCCGTGCACTAGTTTTACCTTGTGTTTTGTCTTTTATAATTTCTCTTCTATCTCTTTCTTCATGTTCTTCCTGAGACATAACTAACAGTTCCTTTTTTATCCAATTCAAGATTTCAGTCTTCTGCTTTTTAAACGTTTTAGTATGACTATAACTGCTTTTAGAAGGCTGAAACTTACTTCTTACGTGAATTTCAACTTCCCTAGCAGTATCATTTGGTAAAATATCATTCTCATAATTTAAAACATTGCCATTCCTTTCTTCTTCGTCACTAGCCTCTGCAATTTCTGGGGGAACAACACAATATCAGTTTCATTCAGGTCATTATTAACATTATCATCATCTGTTTCTTCATCAAAAAATCTTTGAAGGGCTTCTTCTAATGTAAGATACCTCATTCTAGGCATTTTTAAACAACCAGAACGTGAACCAGAACATCGAAAGGAATGAGTGAAAAAGGAGATTGACTACCCGTTTCCTGCTGATGTTGCGTCAACGCAACACCTGTTTTCCTTTTCTTCCCAACACAAATATAAACATCTGACTTATGTAACGTTCTGATAAACTGTGACCTTGACTAAAAATAGATCACTCATAAAAACGGTGATTCTTTCATTAAATATTTTCAGCAAAAATACCCGGTCGAAAATTTTGCTTAAAGTATGAGATTAATTATTATAAACAAAATGAATGTTAAAGGCAAATATTTTTTGTAATAGAAATAATCTTCATAATATTCCTTACACAAAATCACCTGCTGGTATGAAATATCTTAGATAGTTATTTATATATGCATTTATTTTGACCGTTGCGTCAACGCAACACCAGCGACTAATGGGTTAAAGTGAAAATAGGTCGATATGCACATGGATACCGAGTATGTGCAATTCTTAAAAACGCGTCAAGCAGTGGGTGATTCTGCACTTTACCCAAAATTCTATTGCCGACTTTTCGTCATGGGCAATTCCCAAATTGTTAAATCCATAGGATATCAAAAAAAGGATTTAAAAATTAAGAAATATAGAACTATATAAACTTACGCAATCTGAAATCAGCGCGTTTGCTAGATTTAACGTGCTGTTAAATGGGCGCGTTTGCTAGATTTGGTGCTTTAGCGCGTACATTTTCGCTGCAATTTTTTTTACGGCCCTCGAAACCGAATAGTACCAAAAATTTTAGATAAATAGCTAGCTATACAACTTATATGACAAAAATCATGGCAGCAATCACCAGTAATGAAAAATCAAAAACTTTAATTAATTGGTTTTAGAACAACATATTAATTTAACATAGATAAAAAATCTTTCGCCAAAAGAAGATAATACTTTATTCTAAATCAAGGTACATCAAACCTTGATTTAAAATAAAGAAATAGTTTAAATGCTCATTTATCACTCATACTGATATTAAGACTTCTACATAAGTAAACATACTTTCATTTTTAACATGACAAAGATTCAAATTCAAAAAGACAAAATTTTGCTTTATTCAATATTAGTTATCAAAAATCAATTTTCAACAATTGCCTGCTGTTAATTAATTTTTAATATATTGTTTCAGCTATCTATCACTAGAGTTTGCTATTAAATAGCCAGCAACTGCTTACACATTATAATAATTTTTATTCACTACAGAAATAAAAAGGTATACTTTCAGATTAACTGCACCACACCTGAAAAGTTGCCAAGCAGGAAACTAATAAAATACTTACCTTTTTTTAAAAAAAATTTATTGTATTTTTTTCCCTTTTTCCCTCCCATATACACAGTGATCTGTTTTCCCTTAAAAAACAGAGAATGGTACATACTTGCCATTTCACATGCTGTTGTTCTAACACAACCATCTCTGTTAGCTTAAAAAAGTCAAAAAATTGCACAAATTTGACATGCTGTATTCTAACATTTTATTTGCAATTTTTCACATTTTTTTTTTTTTTTTTTTTTTTGTAAAATTCTATTCTTTAAGAAATGCAACTTCATATAATGCACATTTCTGTATTCTCTTGGACAAATGCCATATTTCTGGAGACATGTGACACCTTAATCAGCAGGCAAACTTCACAGTCCTATTAAAATTCCTCAGATGGGGGAAAAAAATGTAATGAATAGAATAAAAACTACACATCAGGAAAAACTTCTGTTGAATTTGAAAGTTGGAATCCATGCTCCTTGGCAGCGTGTGTGCATGTGCCTAGACTGCATTATAAATATATTTTGCAGCGTCACGGATCGCCTATTTTGATGACATAGTATATATTGTGAATACTTCTCAGAAATCTTACCATAGGTTGCCTTGCGAATACTTCTCAACACTATATTTAATGCCCAGTTCTACTAGTGCATGCTATATATGTAATCTAGTGCATGCTATATATGTAATTACTAACATGTTTTATTACTATATACAATCTAAATCAGGCATTCTCAAATAAAAAAGATTTCTTTCAGGGAGATTTGTTCCTCTCCTGAAACTACAGCAAAATTAGTTATATACAATCTAAATCAGGCGTTCTCAAATAAAAAAGATTTCTTTCAGGGAGATTTGCTCCTCTCCTGAAACTACAGCAAAATTAGTTATGACAAAGTTGACATTATATGATCCAATACAATGGACAGGAAAAGAAGTTACACATAGACAAAAAGCAATAGAAATATTTTTAATTACATATTTTAAAATGAATAATAATTTATTTATTGATAAATATGTAAATAACATTTACAAGGTGTGACACAAAAAAACGAGCCTAAGTGTGTAGCTTGGAAAATAAGTGGAGTTGGCAACAACTGTTTTAGTGACGTCATCCCACACATCTCCTCTATCCATGTGGCCAGTTTCAACTTAACCGATCCCACCAGTTGGGACTACTGCGTCACTGAGTGAACATATGCAACTGCATTCTGCCAGAAAAAAATATCTAATGTAAAAACCGAACAGTGAACATCAAGTTTCTTGCGAAACTTAAGAAATTAGCCACAGAAAAATTTCAAATGTTAACTGAGGCTTACGGAAATGAAACTTTGTCTCGTGCATGTGTGTTTGATTGGCATAAACGGTTTTCAGGGGGGACGAAACACACATGTCAAAATCAAAATTCCGTTCACACGACCCTATCTGTCAAGCAGTTTCTGACCAGCAAAAACACTACTGTGATGGGATATCCTCCTTATTCACCTAATTTGGCTCCATGCAACATTTTTTGTTTCCTAAAGTTAAATCTTGCTTAAAGGGAAGGCATTTTACCTCATTTGAAGAGGTTCAGGCAAAAACAGAGAATCTCCTGAAGTGCCTTCCGAAAACCTTGTTTCAGAACTATTACCAGCAATGGCAGCACCGAATGAAATGTGTGATTGCTGAAGAGTACTACTTTAAAGGTGATAATGGCACAGGAGAACTAATTCTGTAAGTACAATGATTTATTGGACCAGTCTCTCTCTTTTTTTTATTTAGCAAAAATTTTCTATACCTTTCATGGACTTTCAGAATAAAATATTTTCAGTTTTAAACATTATTATTCGGAGCACTATTAAAAAAAGTCTTGGGTGTCAACACGCTAACATAGAACAAAAAGGGAAGGATAGAAAAAAAGTTGAGAATCATTATTCTAAATACTTTAAGAATATTTATAATATATTTACATGTCAGAGAAAGTAACTTGCATTTAAACAAATTCTTCAATAATTTAGGAAAATTTCTTTACATTATATGTTCACTAAATATACATTCTTGTGATGTTCTTTACATCTTCACAAAAGAATGTAATATTTTTTACATTATAAATTCACAAAATTCATATTTACAAAATAGACACTTTAAAAATATACTTACTCCAGACAAGTTGAGTAGTAGGTAACTTGTATATTACTTCCAGCATTATCTTTCATCTCCACAGCAGAGGTTATTTTCTTAAAAGAGATAAAAAATTATCAGCGCAAGAAACACACAAAATGTTCGCGTAACTTTAAAAGCTATCATATGACTTCAAATCTGCAGCTTAAGTTATTACTTTTATTTCTCCTTTTTGAAAAACCATACCATATTTGCTAATGTATACCTATTCAGAAAATAAAACATGAAAAAATTTTATGACCCAGTTACTTATTTGACTAGTTTTGTAGTAGTAAATACCGTGTTTCATGACAACTTGAGAGATATGAAACACATGCTTACATAAAGATATACATGTGAAATTCATACTTTTAAGTCCTTCATATTCATATATTTATGCCTAATACATACACTAATTTTACAACATTTAGGAATTAAATAAAATAATATGTGTTTAAATTAAACAATTTTACATAAGTAACATTATTAGCAGTTTCTGACCAGCAAAAACATTACTGTGATGGGGTATCCTCCTTATTCACCTGATTTGGCTCCATGCAACTTTTTTTTGTTTTCTAAAGTTAAATCTTGCTTAAAGGGAAGGTATTTTACCTCAATAAAAGATAAATAAGACAATAATTCAAATTTTGCTCTAAAAATTAGACATTTAATTCCTTAATTTAAAAATAAAACACAATATAGAAGTTTTAAAAAAGCTGATTTTGATTAAATATCTGAAAAAGAAGCCTTAAAGCATTAATCTGTATCTGTCACAAAGTTCTATTTTACTTTTTATATTAGTTTATTATTGTTCCCTTCCATCCCTTTCTCAAGAGAGAAATTTTAATTACCATGTTATTCATTACAGAATTTTGTCACACAGACACTTTAAAAAATAATAGAATTATTTACCAGAATGCAAATAAAATTCTTCAAGAGTTTCATCCACAACGTGATTAACTATGTTCCCCCCCTTTCATTATAATTATTTACTACTGATACAACATATGGTTATTGGTAATCTGTGTTTGAATCAGATGCAGTGACTACAATTGTTATGTAGAAATTATATTCTTTTAGAACAAATTTATCAAGAGAACTATATTTATTAACTAGCTACACAATATTGGGAATGAAATCATCTCAAAAAGTAGCTGATGGGTTTAATAAATTATTGAAATACATTCTGTTGGTGTGCTTTTGACATATTAAAGAATACTGGCTTTATACAAAAAATTCTGTAATTACAAAAACAGTTTTCACAAGATCAAAGATTACAAAATCATTTTACACAAAAATGAACTTTCCTGCCCTCTTTGAATAAATTAAACTGCTTGACAAAGTGAATTAATAAAAACAGTATCACAACATAAAATACTAAGATATGATTGAAAATCTGGTTGCTGTTTTTTTATCAAGAATTAAAGAATTATACTTGGCAAATCTTGCAGATAGAACATTTGAATTCCCCAATTACAGAAAAAGATTAAAGATGTCTATTTTCACCATTCAAATTCTGATTTAAAAAAAAAAAAAAAAAAAAAAAAAAAAAAAACTGAATGTTTTGATGCGTGAAGTTTATAGTAAGTCAGGCATTAAACCATAGTACAGACTTCTTGAGCTAAATGCTTTCTTGAAGAATATGTCAGAACGTGCAAGGTGATCAAAAGCTAGAAGGACCTAAAACATTGATAAAAAAAAGCGAAGTGTGATATTTTTAACAGGGTAGAAAAGAAGATTGTCATGCAACATGGGGGGGGGCAGGAAATAGCTCAAGCTACATTAATATCATTAGCACCAGTATACAGTACTTTGAAAAAAGCCTCAGCCCTCTAAATTCTTTACCAGTTGATGCAACTTAATTTTAAAATAAATTAAAACAAAGATTTGATGATATAGGTGAATGATTTCATTTCCTAAGAATCTGATGAAAATGGTTTAACAGCTTTTGACCAGAGATTAACTTGTAGTCAATCCACTGAGGAATTCCATCTTCCCACAACCCAAAATTTTTACATTGCTCAATTACAGATGAAATAATTGATGATTTCTGCCTGAGATTACCAAGGAGTCATTATGGAATATAAGAGTTTCAGACAAAAAAGTGTGATTGTAGCATATTATTGGGAGCAGTTGCAAAACAGATGTTTCTTTAGCAACTGCCCAAGCCATTCAAAAACTTAGAAAAAAAAAGAGGGTGGGCAGTCCCTGCACATCAGACATTTGTACATCAAACATACAAACACACTTTTTCAAATATTTTCCACTTCTTAAAAAACAGAATATTTAGAAAATTACTCCATACAATGGAAAGTGATGGCCTTCCTGCAATATTTAAGAATCATATTTGTTAAAAAATACCACTTACGAAAATTTTTACCACTTAAATTTTGATGATCCCCCCCCCCATTAAAATGACAAGAAAATGTTTTAAACAAAACCTCCAGAATTACCTTACTAATACATAAAATTACTGTACCTTATGTCTGAAAATACAAATTAGATATACATGCAGGAAAAAAAAATGAAAACAAGTAATAAATAGTACAAACTCACATCATATTGATTTCGGACAAGATCCACAACATTAGACGAATCATTTTCAAGTTTTCCAGCACTTGATCCTTCAAGAAGATTACTAAGACGTTCATACACTGGCACCTGGTTTGCAGTAACAGCAAAAATAATATTTACTTTATTTTCTTGTATTTTATGATTAATCTGACTCAGTGAAGGATAATCCTGATGTACACTTTCAGTATAATATCCATTGTCATCTAAATGACACAATCCATCATTTGGCTTTACAATACCTCCAAGCTGTGGGGTGAAAAAGAAATTATTAGCTTTTTTAAATTTCATTTGAATTCCATTTTTTTAAATAAACATACGGATATTTTTTAGAACTACATTTTTACAATACTTTTTATTAAACACTAATTTCAAATTTTGCTCATTTCAGAATTTTTAGCATTAAGTAATAGCTTTTTACTTTTCTTCTTCTTACTTCTAATAAAAGGTTTTGAGAGATTTGAAAGATTTAAGAAAACTTTAGACTAGAAAGAGTTCCTTTATTTTATAAAGGAACAAAAATAAACTCTTTAGAGTTATAAAATAAAGTTTCCTTTATTTTATAAAGGAATAAAAATAAACTCTTTAGAGTTATAAAATAAAGTTTCCTTATTTTATAAACGAATAAAAATAAACTCTTTAAAGTTATAAAATAAAGTTCCTAGACAGAACTGAATCATCAGCATCAAATATTACATATACAACCATAATTTACTAAGAAATCCATATTTTTGTTTCCATCTTGAGAATCGAGATTAGAAGATACTTACATAAGCCAACTCCTGCAATTTAGCTTCAGAAAATTTCCATAAATTCTCGGCAATATATATATAAATAAAGCAACTTTGCTTATTTATAAAACCTTATATACTATATATATTGCTTAAATTATTACATATTAATATATAATACATTAAAAAGTTCTATAAACATGCCATTTAATATACCTTTCCATCACCAGCATAATGAAATCCACTATCTGAAGAGAATACTAACATTTTCCTTGATTTTTCACGCCAACCAATTTTGCTCTAAAACATAAAGTGAACTGCTATTAATTGATATTATTAAACACTGCAATTACTTGAGAATATGAAATTCAAAACTTCCGGAATAATCAAATGCATTTTTAAGAGAAATTTTATGCAGTTTCAAAATAATATACCTTGCAAACCACAGCCTGCATTATAGCATCAAAACCTCCTTCAGGAGCATCCAGATTTCCAGACACCCTAGCTTCTCTAACCAGTCTAGCAAATGTATCCGTAGCAGTAGTTAAAGGCATATGGTTCAGAAACCCATATGGAGCAGCACAATCAGTACATGGTTCTTTTAATCTAAGTAATTAAATTATTTTTATCAATTTTACATCAAAATACTTACTAAATTTTTTTCTTAATATTTCATAAAAATTACTATGAATTCTGTTATGAAGCAGAAAAATTTCCTGGCTAGAATTGTACATTTAAATTTATATGATTTCTAAACCTTTTGAATAAAAGCACACATCTTTTGAAAGTATGAATAAATATATCCATCTGAGAATCTGATTGTCTTAGAAATTTGTAACTGAAATATTAATGAAAGTTTTAGCCAGTGGCGGCTCGTAATAAGCACTGTGGAACTGCAGCACCCCCTATTTCCACTTATTATTATTTTTAATATTTAATATAATGTGCCCTTTAGTCTTTAATTCTTTCTTTATACTTTTACAATACATAATCCTTAAGCTTAATGTCAGTTGCCATCCCCTACTTTGTTGAAAAGGTACGAAATTCTTTGTTTGGAACTGCGCGCTTAACAGTTCCAGTGACGTGGTGTTTGGCTGTTCTGCGTATGCACGCACAGAAAGCAGCACATGAGCTGGGCAGTGAGAAGAGCACTGTCGCTTTTGTAGTGCTCAAAATCTGGCATATTGTTGGAAACGTGATTTCTTTTTACTCCGCGCATGTGGTATTCCTCCACAAGGTGGAACTTCATCATACGGACCATAAACAGAGTTCATGAAAATTTGCAACCTTTAAAAAATTGCCTTACTGAAATTCAATCAACATCAAATGCAGATCAAACTATTGCAAAAGTAACACGAATTTAAAAAAAAAAAAAAAAAAAAAAAACTATATGATAATAACTTCAAGTTTTGGTTAAAGCTTTTTTATCAGATGCCTCATGTTGAAATAATATACAACTAAATGCAATAAAGAGAAATTAATGTGTTGTTTAACGTTAACGAATACATAACAAATTTCAAAACTGCTATTTTAGAATTAAGAAACGCAAAGTACTGTAAGAATTTTTCAAAGACGCTGATGGCAGAAGCTAAGGAAATATGTGACTTTATGCTATGCATTGATATAATGCACAGATATTCTTCCGCTAAACACTTAGCAGCTGCTAAATTGTTAAACAAGAAATGCTTCGCTAGTTTTAGGAATGAAAATTCTACAGAAGAAATAGTATCGACCATTGAAGCATATTTAATGATTGACAAAGAAAAGCTTGAAATTGAACTAAAAGCATTCTATTGAAGGTCTGATATCCATGAATACTGCAATTAATTGAGTTACTAAAATTTACTTTCGAAAATAATCTAGATGATGTTCTTAGTGAAATTACAAAACGGATAAAAATTCTCTTGAGAGTTCTGATAGCATCAGAGGCAGAACGCTGCTTTTCAAAATTTAAAAGAATGAAAACTTTTCTAAGAAGCACTAGGAATTCGGAAAGACTAAATGCGCTTGCATTGATTTCAATAAAGAAAAATTTCCTCAGTTGTCATCCAGAGATCAAGGAGAAAATTATTGATCTTTTCGCACAAATTAAAACAAGAAGAATGGATTTCATTTTTAAATGAATAGACAAAGATTGAACTGTAACAATTTTGGTTAAAGTAATTAAGAAATGTTTAATTTTTTTCTTGTAAGATTTCATGAAGTTTCAAAATAAATTTTCTTTTTATACATGTTTATTTCCTTTTAGACAATTTTAAAACAAAGGTTAATTTTTTTTTTTTTTTTTTTTTTTTTTTTTTGGAACAGCACCCCCACTAATTTTAGCCATGAGCCGCCACTGGTTTTAGCTAAAATTTTATATTAGAAGACATATATTACAAAAATAGAAGTTCCAATTGTAAAAAAATAAATTCCATGTTAAATAATTTTCGTTATCAAAAAATAAAATAAACTTTATACACACCAAAAAATGCACTATTTAAAATAAATATTTACAGTTTTCACATACGAAATTTGGATGTACAACATATTCACGAAAAAATTTTTTTACATGAAATAAGCCTACTTTTGAATAAAAAATCCGTTAAGAGTTATATAAAAATCTAATATAGTTTTTAAGCCACTTCCTCTTAAAACATAAAAAATGTAATCTGAATTTCATCTACCATTCAAAAATGTTTTTAACTCTTGACTTCAACAATACAACAATTAAAGTTTCTCTCTCTCTGGTCCCCCTTTTTTTTTTTTGGGGGGGGGGGGAGACACGGAAATAATACACACTCCTTTTCATATCAGGTGTATAGTTAAATAAAGTTATAGTAAAATCTTTTAAAATAATGATTACTTACTTCTCCGGCACTGTACTGACGTAAGGCATAACTACTTTATCAACAAATGAGCCAAATCCTAAACGAAAATTCTGCGTAATTTTCCCCATTTCACCAGATAACATATTGCCTAATTCTGCTAGCTTATCTTTATCATCCTTCATAGAATTGGACAAATCCATTAGATAATATAAATCAACTGGATAATCTTCAGCTTGGCGAAAATCAACCACCAAAGGAAATGGAGCATCTGTAGATATAGAATTAAATTACTTCTTATGCATATCAAACTAATTTATTTAACATGTATTATACTGCTCACATATTCATAACTAAATTTTCAAGAGTTTAAGAATTTTTTAAGGTTTGCTCTACACTATTACATAAATTTAAAAAACAAAGATTTACCCAGGGGTGGGATGGGAAGCAGAGTTAATGTTCATAAATGGCATTCCAATTTGAAAAATAATAACGATTCATGAAAGCTGGTACTTGCATATGGTCTTAAAAATACAAAATATGAAATATTTTACAAGAATCTGCATATATTTTATTTCCGACAGCATGGAATTTTAATCTAGACATTTAAAAAAAAAAAAAAAAAAAAAAAAACAATGTTGAGGAAATCAAGAAAATTATATTAGATTCTGAACATTTTTACTGAATTCAGTTTCCATAAAAAGAAGATAATTTGGTACTATTCCGTTTTGAGGACCGTAAAAAAATTTCAGCGAAAATGTATGCGCAAAAGCGCCAAATCTAGCAAATGCACCCATTTAAAAGTGCGTCAAATCTACCGTACACACTAGTTTCAGATTGCGTAAGTTTAAATAGTAAGTTATTTTCTTAAGGCACCATTGAAATACTAGTTTAATTTTTAAATCCTTTTTTGATATCCTATGGATTTAACAATTTGGGAATTGCCCATGACAAAAAGTCTGCATCAGAATTTTGGGTAAAGTGCAGAATCACCCACTCCTTGACGCGTTTTTTAAGAATTGCACATACTCGGTATCCATGTACACATCGACCTATTTTCACTTTAAAAAAAATCCCAGAATTGAACAAAAATGGTATTGCACACACCCTTGACTTTATCTATGTACACATCGACCTATTTTCACTTAAAAAGTAAAAGAAAATTGAAAAAAATGCAATTGTTTTTACCCTTGTAAAAAGCGGCAAACAAATAAATCGGCGATTCTGCACTTTAAAAACTGAGAGTTTTTTTTCAAAGAAAAGACATCATTCATTATAGAAATTATGTTTGAACACCATCGAGATGAAATCAGCTCAGTAGCGAAATAGGGCATCCATTCGGTTATGTTTAGCAATTTTTATATAAATTATTATAATGGTCTGAAGTAGTTATTTACTCTTATGCTTTCATTCAGTAATGTTTAGCCTCTTTTATATAAATTATAATAATAAAAAATATTATATGAAATTAACCTTTCATCTAAATTAAAATATCAATCTTAAATAGTTATTTACTATTATTCTTCCTTTCTTGTGTTAGGGTTGCCGCAATTATTTTTGGCAGCACTGGCATCAACAATAGTTTCGCGATTTTTTACGACCCTCAAAACTGAATAGTACCGAGAATTCTGTATATTGCTTTACACCTGAAACTAAAAAGCAATTTGCTTCTGGTGTTTAAAAGCATAAGGCATATATTTTTTCTGTATATCGATAATAATAACAATAAAACAGGAAGTTCCTTAAAATAAAACAAGTAATGGTATATCACTTAAATATTTAAGATCTTGCTTTTTCACATTGTATTCTTTAAATACAGCAACAGTTTCTTGAGAAATTACACATATTAATTTGCAGTTTTGAATAACAAAACAGTACTTTTCTTCCCACTGTTCAATGTACTGTTAGTTTTCATCGACAATCTTTCTTTTCTTTGTATTTATACTGAAAATTTATTATACTGAAGAACCAAGCAGTTAATCTGCTTGTACTCATGTATAGCAGGGCCAAATATATCAAGCATGATTGACATGTGATCGCTCCAACCCTGTCACTATTGCTTCTGACAGCTAGCATGACTGGTCATATTGTTTTTACTCAGAACTGGCATTAAGCATTATTTTGGGGGGGGAAGTACAGCATATTAATTAGTCATAACAGATTTTTACATAATTTTCTTTTACATTGACAAAAACTTTAAACAATTTAAACTTTATAAATTAAAAAAAGCAAAAATAAGTTTTTGTTTTTCCTACTCAATAACATTATTATTTCCTACTCAATAACGTTATTATTTTAATAATGTTAACAATCCTCTCAGATGCAAATTCTAGTGTAGTGCAACTAGTGTGGCTATATACTAGGGAGCCAAAACTGTAGTGTTTAGAGGAGTACAGAGCAGGAAAAATTAGAGATGGCAGAATTTTTAAAATTTAGGAGAGGACACTGGCCAGTAGAATTTAGGACCAGCAAAATTCTTAGAACTCAGCAATGTGCAGCAGAATTTAGGACTAGTAGAGACTGCACTGCGTGGCAAAATGCAGAGTGCCTTGCTCCTCCCCCCCCCAAACATCTCAAGGGCCGAAAGTGTGATCCTGGCCAACATTAATCCGTCAATCAATGCACTGTTATTGATTATGGTGTTTCTCTCTAGCCAGCGTGTGTTTGAAAGTGATAGGCAGGAATCTTAACTAGTCGAAAGAAAAATTGCCTTACACTTGCCTCCTTTTGTAATATTTTCGATTCCTGAACTTTACAAGAGAGGATTTTTTATTTATTTATTTATTGCCTAGTAGATCATTTCCGATACTGGATATCCGGATTTTGGGCTTTTAATGTAATACAATTTGATATGTTATCAAAATCAGAAAACTAAATAATTAAATGAAATCAGTTTATTTTATAAATGTGATAACACTGAGGGCAGAAAGATATATTTCCTCCCTCCCTCTAACAAATGACTCACACCCAAGATCTCAAAATAAGCATGAACAAAGTGAAAATGTATTAAGGACTAATAGAGAGGATTTATAACATAATAATAATCATAAGTCACAAGGCAGCAATATTTTAGCATTTTTAACATATTAAAAAAAATAATTATTTAAAATAAAAAACTCAATTCGAATTACTTGGTCTTAATTTTAACGTAATTTCCTGTGGTTTTATCTGAATAGCTTCTCCTTCTTTAACTCCTTTGTTACTTAGTTCTAGATCCTGAAATTAAACAAATCTTCAGATTATACTGCTTAGTCCAATAAAAGAAGTAAGCAGAAAGAAAGTGATAAAAATATAAATAAATGAGTAAATACACAAATCTCTTACTTTCACTTTTTTCATTTCTTGGCCCGGCATAACGATATCATTATCTGCACATCGTCCCCTTAAATTACCTGCATAATCACATCTTCTGCTACCATCAAGAGTAAAATCCTAAAAATAACATGATTTTATGAGTAACAAAACATCCAATTATTAAATATTTTATAGTTTACTCGTACACCAAATTATTCACAATACTTTTTAATTATTAAATTGTTTTAATTCTCAAAATGCATTCCCTAAATTTGGTTCATTAGATGCAAAAATGTCTCATAAATAGTTTGAATGGATAAAACAGAACTAAACAAGAAGTTGCAAACAAATTTGAGTTACATAGGAAATTGCATGATAGCAAAGCACCTGAGGCCTACGCAACTAAGAAGTAGGAGATTAAGTCCTTGAATGATTTTCACATGGAAACAAGCATGTATTTATGTAATACACAGGAGGGTTCAAAATTACCTATGCAAACAGCCATTCTATTAATGACTACTAACCCCATGGTAAAAGTTTACTGCTAAAAGATATCTAACAGCTTCAATAACTTGGCTGATAAAAAAAACTCAACTGAAAACACATCAGCAGCTTTTCTATTAGGCTGATGATTGATGTGGATTTCCTTATATACATATGTGTTTAATGTTTCTTTTGAATACATGTATAATTTTTACAATTAACAAACAAAATCTGGATGACATCAGATGTAACAAAGTAGCTTGAAATTCTAACAATTACACAGTAAGTTGATAGTTGGTAGATCTATTAAATTGTCAACTTATATATAAATTAATTAGATGTAAGGTATATTTAAACATCAAAACTCTTTTCTAACAATGCCATTCATACAGCAAACAAAAAATTATTGTATTCTTATATTTATACTCAGAAATGTCAAATGACAACAATTAAATCACTTTAATTTTTCTCTACATTTCAAAAGATGTAAGCTGTAACTGTACTGTGATGCCAAGTATTACTCCAGTTTTTCCAATTTATATTTAAAATCACATACATTACATCCTTCACTAATGTTCTCCCATGACACATAACTGTAACACACTTTTTTTGATAATAAATTCAGAAGAACACATCTCACCGATCTAATTTCGATCACCAATTTCTATCTAAATCTGTCTTCATAATTCAAAAAACACAATTAGCAAATTTCACATATTATAGTATTAACACCACTAGATGCTGGATGGTTTATACAGGAATTTTTAAGCCATTTTCATTGAATTTTTTAATTCAATGAAACTGCATGTAAAGCAACAAAACTTTACATGCAGTTTACATACGATATTCAATAATATCATACTCAGTTAAACAATCAGTGGCCCCTATCATGCTGACTTAACTATATCATAATGAAAAGCCTAGTCACCTGATACTTTTAGTCTGCAGCAGAACAATCTTGCTGATATTCATTACAGCTTTAGCCTCCGAAAAACATAGCCAACTAACTCTCAGCTGATTTACATCAGCCTGAATAGTCTACAAGAACTCGGGCCATTAATGCATAATGCAATGTGATAACTGTCAGGTGCTGTTCATTGTATATTATATTTTTCCTGACATATATGATATTCAACTCAAGTAATAAAAAAAAAAAAAAAAAAAAAAACTCAGAAAACAATAGTACTTTTCTCTTACTGAAAGTGTGCCAAAGCATCAAATGTGGTAGACTATTTGAATAGCTGTGAAATGGACATACTGGCAAGAGTAGTAGTAACGGAGGACGTGGGCACTATCCCTCTACCATTACAGTTAATTGGTTCTGCCCACGTCCGCCCTTATCTAGTATTTATTAATAAATCAAAAGTTTTTACATTGCCATATAGTGCCATATAAAAAATAAATAAATAAAAATAAAAATTTTAAAGTAGTACTTTATAGTCCTTCATGAAGTGTATCTTCATACTGGCAACTGTCGAATATGAACACCAGTAAGTTAGCCACGAATACAACTTTACTGAATACAATAAGCCTAACGTGCAAAATGGTAGCACTACCGGCCAACAATTATTTTTATAGTGTTTTAATTAAAAAACTCTAGAAATCTAATATTCTGATCCTAGGGACAAATAATACATGAATAAAGAAAATTTACTCTCACTCACTGTGGGTGGTGATCGCACTGTGAAAACAGCACGTATCTAGGACTTTGAAACTTACTGAGGTAGCATAAAAAAAGTTTTTTTAAATCTTTTTCCATGTGCATTTCTAATTGATAAAATTACAATTTTTTTTTAAATGTATTTAAAAAATGCACTATATGTAAATTTTTTACATTATTTTACAAAGTAAATTGTCAGACAAAATAAAAAATACCCATTTATGTAATTCTTCTAGAGCAGTGAAAATATAATAATGTACATACATAATAAGAACGTTTGGGTAAATAGATTTAAAAAAAATAAAAAACCTAAGTAAAGTAATGATTAAAAAAAAAACAACTCAGTGAATTTTTTTTAATGTCAAAGAACAAAGTTATTTTTTGCAAAACTGTTCAAAGCATATTTTGTCTTTTTGGTACATGCACTGTCCAACATTGTACGTTTTGCACATGTTTTGTCCTATGAGGTTTCTCTCTTGTGCTACAGAATGTTCATCACCGGAATTTGTGTTTTACTAGCATATGCTCTGCATTTAGTCTCTTTTCATTTGGCACATGAAGTTTGTTGTTTTCTATATTAATGGGAGGGGGGGGGAATTGGTTCTTTTTTACTTAGGTACGAATCCTTCGTTTCCCATTTGTATCATACTGCTGATTATATCCATTCTGAACGAATTGAGTATTTATAAACTGGAATCACTTTCGGAAGAATTCAACACATGACGAAAGCGTTTACACAATGCTGACTTGGTAAACTTATAATTTTCTGACTGATTCATCAGCTTCATCTTCTATATTTATATACGTAGGAGGGAAGAAAGGTAAAAGAGTATTTCCCTCTCCTTTACTTTCATCCTGAGAGACAACTAAAACTGGATATGAAGGTAATTCTTCAAGTAAAGCTAATGCATCAACTATTTCTGGCCCTTTGTGAGGCATTTTCAATCTCAGAAGTAGAAAAAAAAATATTTATGAAATGTATTTACTTTAAATAAAACTTTTACATAATTTCTATTAAGTTCTTCCCCCCCCCCCGAAGCTTAATAAATATTAACTAAAGAAATAAAAAAAAGTTCTATATTTGGGGATTTACTGCTTGCACCCGGCTAACATATTTTGCGAGATTAATGGATCTATATAAGCTGCCCCTGTAATTTAGCTTTAGAAAAAGTTCTAAAATTTTTCGTCTTATACATAGAAATATTTGGTATACATAAAAATACCAAGTTTTTCATGCTAAAAGAGTGATAACGTAATAAATGTCAAAATTGAATAAGTCTGATACCCTGGAAAAATTACATCAAAGCATAAAAGCAAAAAATGAATTAATTACTTCTTGAGAACACCATGCACATTCAGGATCAGCTGTAATACAGTCTCCACAAGTTTCTTTTGAAATGCAAGGATTCCCAGTTAATTTTTCAGGTACTAAGAAAAAAGCAGAAATATTTTTGTATCAAGAATTTAAATGCATGGCACAAAAGTTAATTTAGAAATGCACCTGACGTTACTAAAATAACCTCGTTCTTATTGTTTAAGCAAGTGTAAAAAATACAAATACAAAAGTTTAATAATTAAACAGATTCAAATACAAAATTTTTATAATTTAATTAAACAGATTCAAATACAAAATTTTTTGTATTTTATCTATCTCTTAGTTTACCATACAGAAAAGATTTATTGACCAAGTAATGAAACTAATACAGTACAAATCCAAAATCCGGACTCGTCGGGACTTCGGCGATTCTAGATTTGGGATTTTTCTGGATATTAGATCACCAGTTTAAATCTAGTACGATGGCATGTAGAAATTATAAAATTAAAAATATGAAATATTGAAGTATTTATGATTTAAAGGTTATCAAAATTTACAAAAAAAAAAGCTTAATATTTATTTGTTTACCTTATTACACATTTCTTTTAGTGCACATTGTCTAAGTTGCTTTGTTTTTTGTGCTAATACTTTCTCTTTAATTCTGTAGACAGGCTCAACCTTGAAGTCCTGTAACTGCTGTTTTGAGAATTCCGACTAACTTGTCAATTGAAATTTTCTCGTTTTCAGTAACTTCTGTCATTTTCTTCACTATCAGTAGCGGTATTTTCTGGATCTAGAACCATACTACAGAGTTTGCCATTCATTAATTGATTGATGACAGAGAAGCAGTTTCATCACAATGAAAAACTTCTTTTATATCATTTTCATTTATTACCGCTTCTCCACATTTCTTTATAAAATCCGTTAATTGGAAAATTTCACCTTTGTTTTGCGATATCCAAAAACCTTTAAAATTAGCGGCTATCATCATCAAATTTAGCTATCCTTCACTATACACATTTGGGTATGCATCATAAGCTTGGTGACTAACGACAAGCTGTTCCGTTAAATTTTATCTTGCTTCTATTGCGCACCGAGACAATTAAGTCTGAATTGTATTAGTTTAGTTTTTTATTATACTTATACAGTCAAAAGTCGTTAATCCGGACTCGTCGGGACTTCGGCGATTCCGGATTATCGATTTTTCCGGATTATAGATCATCAATTTAAATCTGGTAAGATGGCATGCAGAAATTACAAAATTAAAAATATGAAACCGTAATTTATGAAATAAAGAACAATTATGATCTAAAGGGTATCAAAATTTACAAAAAGAAAAAGCTTAATATTTATTTGTTTACTTTATTAAACATTTCCTTCAATGTAAGTTGCTTCCTTTCATGTGATAATACTTTCTCTTTAATTCTATTAAACAGACATAATTTCTTGTTTAGTTACAAAGTTCCGCTGCTCAAGTCCTATAACTGCTGTGTTGAGAATACGGACTAATTTGTCAATCGAAATGTTTTCGTTTTCAATAACCTCTGGGTCACTTTCTTCACTATCGGAAGCGAATTATAATGACGAGGAACTTGATTTAAATCATATCAAAGACAGAATGAAATATTACACTTAGTATGGAATTATAAATCAAATAAAATAAAAACATCTGCCCTGAAGATAAGGATAGTGCTGACAGATCAACTTTCAATCCGCTGCGTGAAAACAGATTTCGGATCTCAAAACATACTTTCGCTTTGTAGATACAAATTACATATTAGTAAATATATATCGGAAATTCTATTTGACATAATCTTTCTAATCTATCATAATCTAATAATGACGTTTCTGCCCCCCCCCTCTGCCGCAGAGCAGCGTGAAATTGATAAACAGATTTCGGATTTCAAAACATACTTTCGCTTTGTAGTAAATATATATCGGAAATTCTATTTGACATAATCGAAAGTTCAAGCTTACTTTTATAAAATTGCTCTAACAGTCTGCAAAAAATAATAAGCCGGATCCAATTCGAAGATTAAGGAACAACGCAATCGGCAACATTAACTGAATTAGATAACTTTAGCTTAGCGTATAACTCCGTTACAATTTAAACGCGCATGCGCACAAACATATTCGCAGCCGTAAGGGTCTTACGCGCTCTCGTAAACGCCTGTGCGCATGCGTGAACGCGACGCATGCGCAGAAAGTTTGTAGCTTTGACGTCCGGATTATAGATCATTCCGGATTATGGGGTGTCCGAATTAACGACTTTTGACTGTATCTATTTCTTGCACATGCTTAAGGCTTATCAGAGATCTGAATAAATAAATTCCCACAAATACTTATTTATATGTTTAAGTGAATAACAAATGAGTTATTTTTAATTCAGATAGCCCTAAATGTAATCTTTGGGTCTATGAGTATCATCAACAAAATCTATTTTTAGCATATGGAAAGAAATTTTTGGTAAATTTTTCCTCGTCACAACATTTTTTAGCTCATTAAACTTAAATCTGTAATCAACGCCAAGCATAAAGTCAACATAAAAGGTTACCATACTCCATTATTATTCAATTACAAACATAAAAGAATTGTTTAGGCATCACTACATGAGTCACTACTCAAGTTGTCATGTTTTGATAATGCAGTGATGATAAGAAAATATAATAAATAATGATTCGCCAGGTTGGCATCAGATCAACGATGTATCTATGTGGAATGTTTTGGTTTGAGATGTATGCCAAGCAGATACGCAGCAACAGAGCCAAATTACTGATCGTACAAATTTATGCTAAAATGACTGTCTTCAATAACAAGGTATTTTATTTAGTGTCGAAGCGGAATTAAGAATAGGGACTCTCCAGATGTGTTATTATGCGCAGAAGGGAAGAATCAAATGCGCATGCGTAAAGCCTATGAGAAAAACGTTGTTGATAGTTTTGAGGTTCGGATTTTAGAGCATTCTGGATAATGGATGTCTGGATTTCGGACTTTGTACTGTATTACACAGGAAGAATCTAATAAATTAATGATCCAATTTTTAAATGCCATAACAAATCACTTAAAACAATCAATAAAAAAAAATTAATATGAAAATTCACAAGTTTCCGTATAATTGAACCTAACCTTAGAAACACAAACATTTGTGATTTTCATTACTACTTAAAAAATATATTTACCGCACAATTTTTTTTTTGTTTTTATATAATTAATTATTGAAATATTAAATACATTAATAAAAAGCACATGATCTTTCATTAACAAAGAAAGTGTGAAAAAAGTTCTAAATGAATACAGAATGAGGTGATGTCATAAAAGCATTTTGAAACACTTACGATGCACCTTTTTTTACATTTTTACCAATCATTACAAAATGTGACAGAATTAATTGCACATAAGTTAATACATATTGCTAGATACACATAAATTAATACATAATACATAAATTTCAGCAAAAGAGCAAATAAGGGGGCAAATGTGTAAAATTAAGCTTCAATGTTGTACCTATATACTATATGCCAGGCATGGCCAAAGTGTAGCTCGCGAGATACTTGCAGCCATCTGCTCTCTAAAATGCGACATGTTTCCAATAAAAAGTAGTTTAATTTTTTTAAATATAAGCGAATTTGAAACAAACCATGCAATGACATGTTTCTTTATTAATCAATAATTTAACTTACTATCCTAGGTAGAGATCATAATTTATTTTACCAATGATTGTGCATGTTGAAATATTTGGGGTCTAGGAGGAAATCATTGGATTGACAGCAATTTCAGTTCTATTCACAAAATTTTCAATTCATGTTTTGTCAGTTGATGTTAATCAAGATGGAACTCTTTCACCATCATCATAGAATCTTCATATCAATAATCTTGCTGAGGGATGAACTGAGCACAAACATCTCTCTTCTCCAAAGTTTTTGTCAAAATACAGCATACTAATGCTAATGAAAGAGTTTTAACTTGTGATATTTTATCGTACATTATTTGATGACCTTATTTCTTTCTAGATCAATACAAACATCACTCAACATTAGAGTTGGCTTTTTGCTGCTCGCTATTTTCTAAATTTTTTTACCCCTTAGTACTGCTGCTCAGCACAGCAGCACCGGTTGCTCCGGCTCTGATGCCAGCATTACATTTCTTTAATCTGTTGATAATTTTTGTCTACCTAATTTTTGATTATCATGTATGTCTGATACTATTTCACAGATGTCTAGTAATCAACGGAAAGTCGTACCATGTTCCATTGCCTGATTACTACAAATTTCACCCAATAATGTAAAATTTCGCTGGAATTTAGCCCTGCAAACGTTTATTTTTTAAGTCATCTTTTATATTCTCAAGTATCTTCATATGTCTGCAGACTTCATTTCAAAGTTATTTTCTGTGTAGAGGTTGTTAGTTTATTAGAGGTTGCTAAGTTCTAAGCACTGGCCCCAGCCCACCTAGCAGGCAAAGCCTGCCATCATATATGGCTATGAGGGGGACAGGCCAATCCAACAACAAACGAATGTTAAATAACAAAATAAAACAAAATAAATGGTTAAATAACAGAAGATAACAAAACTTAATAAACATCTGGTGATAAGTTGCAAAGCTAATATAAATACCAGACATAAGTTGCAAAGCTAATAACAATTACATATGATGAACATAAGAAACTCAAGAAAAAAAAAGAAAAAAGAAAAAAAAAAATCGGGTTATAATTGGCATGGAGAGTTTTACATTCATGATATATCTGTATTTGTGAAAAAAATTCATTATAGTAGACATGGGTATGCTTCCTTTCTGTACAATAGTTTTAATTTACCTTGTATTTGAAAAATAGCTCAAAATTCAATAGCTACGGCTAAAAGTTCAACTATTAGTCAGTTAGAATATGTGTTCAACAAAGCATTTTTATCAACCGACATAAATTGCTAGATTTATTAGAAATAGGTTATCTATGTTCAGAGTTATCAGGATAATTCGAGATACAGTTTCAAGAAATGTTAATAACTCACAGTATACTGATTACTTAAAAATTCTGGCAAATTTCATTGGATGCCACATTGAAATTGAGTAGCACTGAGGGCTGTTGGGAGTGATAGGGATAATTCAGATATCAGTTAATTATAAACATGTTCTCTTTTAAAAGGATTCTTCTACATTAGGCATCAGTAAAACTTGGCACTCCAAAGTTGGGGTTAAAATTTTAACGATTTCTTACATTGGGATTCAAAAGATTTGAGTGATGAAAAAAGTTCTCCGATGTTTGGATCAAAATCCGATGTTTGGAATTTAAAAACATTCTGAAGATTTCCGGGATCTGTTGATTTGAACCTGTCAACATCACAGAAAAGGTGTATTTGTCTAATGAATTAATTCAGTTACTAAGATTTGATCTCAGTATATTGATTCTTATGTAAAAAACAAAATTAATTTTTATGCAAAAATCTAAATTAATAACTTTTTTAATAATTTTTCTTTCTTGAATAATAATTTCTCAGCAATGTGCATTGACTTATATTATTTAATTTATTCTTTTGAAAGATTGCTTACAAGTTAAAAAAAAAAGAAAAAAGAAATGCTCTCCACACTTTTTTAAAAATAATAGTTTAATTCACTCAATAAAATTTGTTTAAATAGTTGTAAATCAGTGCATATGCTTCTGATTTCAGTTTACTTTTACTAAAATCAAAAAACAATAATTATAAACAGAAGAGAATAAAGAAAATTAGTAGAAAATTTTTGTTTTTCTACCTGAAGGAAGAATGCTCAGTTGCACAGTACAAGAGTTTACAAATTTATATTTTCTTGGAATTAAATTTTCGGAACACAAAGCAGAAGATATGAGATTTATTTATTCATATTTATATGCAATGATGTTAATGAGATTTATTTACTCATATTTATATGCAATTACTTTAATGAGATTTATTTATTCATATTTATATTCAATTATGTTTATCACATATAACTTACAAAATTTTCATGAATTTATTTCAAAAGTCTTTTAATATTCAAAATCTGCTTTATTATTTTGGAAACGATATAAATTTGGACTTGCGGCTCTCAAATGTTCATGAAATATACCATGTGGCTCCTGTTGTCTTGAAGTTTAGCCACCCCTGCTATATACAGTAAACCTACCACTATTCAGCAGTCAACTACGCAGACTGCTCGTATAACTGGAATATTTTAGAAACTCTTTGCAATGGAAAAATTTATTAAATGTAAGATTTGTAATTATAGCTTTCAGAGCTCATAACACTATTAACATGTATACAATGATGCCAAACAGTATCATTTAGTGCCAATAATGGATAAGCATGACACCATGACATTATGTTAATGTTTGTTTTGGTTTTTTGCAAGTTCGATTAATTCTTATTAAGTCTATTTAATTTTTCTAAAGATGGATATAAATTTTATTTTTTCCTCGTATTTTGAAACTTGGTTAATATTTTAAATTGCATGAAGTATTCCCAAAGTTACAGGACCCAGACATCAACAGAAGCCATTGGTACTTTCCCTTATCTGCCCACAAATGTGTTGAGCATTTATGGGGTTCAGCTACATGAACAAATAAAATACAGCATGGTACTGCAAGGCAACATCTCACATCTTATTTGTTAGAATTTATTTGAAGAAAGAAGCAAGTGGGAGGAATTAGTTTAATTCCGTTACAGAAGCAATAACAGTTTTCACCTGAAATAAACTCTAACGGACATGAGCAATGCCCCTTGTACCCTCTTTACAATTAAATTTATTTTTCTCATTGCCTTATTAATGTGTTATTATATCATATTATTTGTTCTTACAATTTTACAATATTGCGGACAGATTAAGGAAAAGTACCACCTTGAAAATGAATAAACAATGGCAATGTAACGTGAAAACTTATTATAAGTTTTTGATATGCTATATTTTTAATTTGTATTTTTTTATTATTATCTATAAATAGCAAATTATCTACACATTTAAACTTCAGCCAAAATGACTGGCAACATCTCTGCTAACTTCCATGTTTGGCGGGATTTCACAATTGGATCGCATATTTTACTTTCATGTTTAAGCCCTATTAAATATGTCGGTTTTGATATCCGATTCCCCTCCCCCTTCAGAATCTTATAATTTTAAATGTAGCCTTTTGAGATTCAAGTTGGTAAGAAATGAGATGGTTGCTTTTATAATTTTAGAGCAGGAAATTTTCCCATTGATTTGTCTTTTCTAATATGAATTCCTTTTTTTTTTAATACCCTCAACTATCCAGAATTTTCATACATCTGGAATTCAGCATTTCCTGAGCTTTAGAGATAATTGCACATAAAATAAAGTTACAGTGGGAATGAAAACAAGCAGCAGTACCAAGATATGATGAATAATATTTTTAAATAAAGATTGTGTTAAAAATATAAAACATACTATAAAAATTACACATTAAATCAATAAAAAATAATATAGTGAATGAAAATTATTATTTTAAATAAAAAGTTGACTATTTGTTTTCATCTTAATATGAATAGTAAATTTATATTCCAGCACTTAAAAATTATTTTAATAATCATACTTTTGTGTTAAGTTCTGATGAATCCTTAATTTTCTATTTGTTCAATTTTAATAGATATTGCATTAAATAAAATTCATCTAGGAACTATAAACTCTTAATTTTAACCTGATTACAAATCAAGGAAAAGACACCATTAAAATATCACCATTGATAAGTTCTTTTTAAAAACTGATGTAAGTAAAAATGTATTCTTTTACCTTGAGCAAAGCAAAGCTGGAGAGCAACAAAAAGAATTGAACCAAGAGCCTTCATTATTTGACACCTAAAAATACATATTATAGATTACAAAATGATGAAATTACAATCTATAATTATAGACTTATTATTATAAAACTGCAAATAATAGTATATATAAACCACGTGTTCTTCATGGCTAGATCATTTACTTATTCAAAAGTATATATTCTGAATTTAAAAACTGAATATGCACTAATATATAATCAATATATTTATCTTATCAGATTGGATTTTTGAAAAATTTAGACCCTTTTTCAATGTTTAAAAATATATCCTTCACAAATAAAACCCCTGTTGTTAAACAATATATTAATTCATTAATTATTAATTCTAAAAGGAAAAGAATTAATTAACAGAATGGATGAAAGAGCAATTTTTCCCCCATTTTTCAATAGTCTTTACACACATGCACACACACATAATTAACAATTAAAAAGTCAGCTAGTTCAAAAACCTGAAATTTAAATATATCAACAACTTACAAGGGAAAATAATAATGTTATAATGTGAAAACAATTTAGATTGTTTTAAAAATTTAATTTTTTAATGCATTGCTTATTTTATTCCGGTACATGTAACAGAAGTGGGCCTTGTACCAAAACTAATTTTGAAAATGGAAAAACCAGTTTCAAGATCAACTTGGAAAAATAACATAATAATGGCTGATTGACAGACATCTTATCTGTTATCTGACAGAGGTATATATTTTTCTAATCTGGATGAAAATGCATAATGTTTAATTTTGTTATAATTAGTGTTTTGTTAAGTGATCAAAATGATCTATCACCTGTAATATGTACATTTGTGTGTGTGTGTCTGTAAATAGATTAATTAATTTCAAATTCTGAATTATAATGGATGGATCATTTAGTATTTTGTGCAGTAGAATTTTCTCAGTAGTTTGGATTCTGACATCTTTTATTTCCTGAGATTCTTCCACTTTGTTTTCTCTTAAATGTTTCAAAAATTAACAGCAAAATTTCATCCAAACTTAAAATTGCTATAACCAAGACAAAAATTATATCTAATCAACTTCTCAACTCCACACACTTTACCATCTCTAATTCTTATACAAATTAAAGATATCAGGAAGAATTTTCTTGCCCCTAATGGTTAATCAGGATCATATTTTCTTGGTAATATTTTTTGTTCCTAGCACAAAGAATACTTTTGGTAACAAAATACCTCCAGTGACATTTTGGTAACATTGTCTGTTTCTTAACTCTAGATTTTTTTTAAGGGAGATCAATAAAAAGCACAACCCTAGTGACAATATTTTGCATTTTTTCTTCTGATCTTTCAATACATTAATTTAGCTCCCTACTTTTTCTTCACTTCAGAGGTAAGCATTATTAACTCTGGCAAGCAAGAAGAGCTTACAAAATTTGCCACAAATTCAATAAGAAACTACAGCTGTCTTTCAAGGGTTTAGCATTCGTCCTAAAACAGAAACCTGCACAAATGGTCACAAAGTAAAGTAAGTCTAGAAAGAAAACAAATGGCAATACTACCAACAGACATTTGGCCTTCAGATCGATAGTTGTTTAAAAAGTAGCAGAATACTTTTTAGCATTTCACAGTTCATTTACAACTGCAGTTATGAAATCACTTCACTGAAACATAGCTAAAAGAAGTGAATATATGGTCTAGGGAAAAAATAATACAGGAGATTGGAGTAGTTACATGAAATTATGTGCTTCTTCCTTGACTTAATGAGAACACTGTAAAACTGAAGATAAAAACAAAACTGTAGACATTGAAGAAAATTTACATTCTACTCAGAAAAATATGCTGGGAGATTATTATCCCTGGACATTCCATGGTATTTGTCATAAAACAAGCAAGTATTTTTTTAAATGGATGAAAACAGAACTGCAAAAGGTTCAATGGAATTAATTAAGGACAATGTAGCCAATGCTCAATAATATTTGTAAATTGTTGGAAAGGATTTTTGACACAAAAGTCAGAAGAAGTTGGGTCAAGGGATTGCCAGGGTCAGACTTAGCCCAACTGGGGCCCAGGGCAAAAACATTTTTGCCCCCCCCCTCTGCTTCCCTACTTCAGTAATGAACACGTGACATTTTTGGAGATAATTAAATTTTTATAATAAACTTTCTATTCGATTTGGGGGCCCTTTTGTGATGTGGGGTCCAGTATGCCCCTGCCTTAGTCAGGCTCCGGGGATTGAGCAATGCCTAATCAAAGAATCGCATAAACTCAATATCCATGTACCGCCAAAAATCGCCAAGGGGTACCCATAAATATACTTTTACCCTATTGACTTCAGACTTCAATGTCAAAATTCGGTTGTAGGAAAAAATGTCACCCGGGGAAAAGGGAAACGGAAAGAATGTCCCTGGAAAATAAGGAATGGAAAAAAATGTCGCCTTTTGTTTGCAATGGGAAATTTAAGGAATGCTTAGAAAGATTGCCAAGCTGGGTGATAAAAGTTTGATCTCAGCAACCGTAACTTCAGATTACGGAAACATGTGCGAGTAGAAGCAAGAAGATTTGTTAGCTGCTGGTTTCTCCATTAAAGTTAAAAATAGAAGGGTGTTTAGCGGGGTAAGCTTTTGCGATGGAAGCTAGTGGGGGAAGGTGGGTTGTCCAGAATCTGTCATTGTCAGGTCTTTAGCAATTGCTCTTTTGCACCGCATGTAGTTATAGCCTTAAGCTGCAGTTTAGTGAAACATTGATTGATGCATAACAGAAAAACTAATTCATCTGAGCTTTGGTATAAGAAACAGTTGTAGATGCAATTTCAAGTTATGGTTTGCAATAAGAATAGTACTAAATTTTTTAGCTAATTAATTTTTGCATCATATTTTTTCTCATTTGATTTTAATTAAAAGTAACATATCTGCAATTATTTAATTTAGCGCTTAAGTTTGAAAACAAGAATACCACACTTATTAAAATTAAGAGGTTTATTTCAAAATTATTAGTCCAAAGGGGCTTTTGTCCCTGATGGACTATTATTTTCATTTTGTGATTTTGCGTTGAAAAACTCTGAATGTCCGCATCCCTTTTCAAACTGTTGCCACCAAATATTGTGATAAAACAACGGTACCTAGAGCCATCAAGTTTCGAATGACGTGATTCTACTACGAATCTGGGCAACTGGAAGCCCAAATTTGAAATTTGGAATTTGTTTTATTATCGATTTCATATTTTGAAAAACGTTAACGAATTTTTGATTAACAAACTCACGAATTGCAAAGCGAGCCATGGCGATGTTGTACAGAAAAAACATTTGGTACTTTTCCGTTTTGCCGGTGCAAAACTCGCCAAGCAGACTTTGTTGGCGACAACATACAGTATACACATAAAAGCTGTTAACAAACATTAGTTCTAAGAATTTTTTATTTTGAAGGCATAAACATTTTAATATGGTTTAAAATTTTGTAAAAAGCCAATAAATTTGTAAAAAGGCATTAATTAATTTAAGAATTTACTACGCTTTCATGGTTCAACATCCTGATTCGCCAATTCGTATCACGTGACCCCAAGTGATCTCATATCACATAAACTGCCCCCAAAAAAATCTAATTCAGTAATTATCCACATTAATTTCAAGTTAAATCTTAATTTGGAATACACATTTAAATGCAAGAATTATTTCAATTCGTACGAATAGCTTACTCAGAAATTATGTAAAATCGCAATGCTTTATTTCATTAGTTCATTCTCATTAAAACTGATGAATTTAACCCTTGATTTTGCCTTTTCTTTATTTTCGGATGAGCGGTGTGATTGCACTCTAATTGATTTAATTACCGCGAATGGTCTTAGGCCATAAAATTTAACTATCTTGTAAAAATTCTATGTAATTGTATGCCAGTATTGAAAGAAACAATCAATCTGATAAGAAATGGCTGCGACTTGTTTTGGAAATGAGGCGTAAAAGGTTACCAGCGAAGATATTCCGTTTGGCATCAGTTGTACTATTGTTGGCGACTTTATCGTTTGTGCCGGCAAAACGGAAAAGTACCAAACGTTTTTATCTCTAGCACGTGAGACTGTGAATCGGAAATTCTAAAAATATGCTCAATTTAAAAATATTTTGCGATACTGCTCTTGAACTGAATTTTATGGTTTAAGTGTGAAGAACATGATATTTAATAAATAAAGGTAACACACAAAATGTTAAAAAAAGGCCCCTTTGGACATAATTTAAAATCTGAAACCTTTCAGATTTTTTATTTAAAACAAATTTATTTAATATTTCGAGTTCTGGATAATCAAATTAGCGGTAACATTCTAAAGCTTCAAAATGTTATTAAGAAGCTCAGCTTTATTTTTAATGATTCATTTTACCACGCCATTGGAGGGAAAAAAAATCTGAAAGCTTTCAAATTTTAAATTACGCCCAAAGGGGCTTTTTTTAATGTTTGTGTGTTACCTTTATTTATTAAATATCATGTTCTTCGCACTTAAACCACAAAATTCAGCTCAGCAGCAATGCCGCAGCATAGTTTTAGAATTTCCGATATTTCCAATTCCACGCGCTGGAGACAAAAAGGGTTTTTTTTCCCCCTGTAGAGTGTTGCCATTGCTCCCTTTTAAATCGTTGAGTTTTTTACTCAAAAATTCGTTACAGTTTTACAAAATATGAAATCGACAATAAAACAAATTCCAAATTTCAAATTTGGCCTTCCACATGCCCTTACTCATAGGAGGATTACATCATTCAAAATTCAATGGATCTATGTGCGCTGTTTTATCACAATGCGAGAAATATACATACATTTATGCAGATTTTTCATTATTTAATTTCTTTAAATATAATACAAGGCAATAATATTGGGTGGCAACAATATGAAATGTGAAACAACGCTTATTGTGAATCGACGCAAAATGCCAAAGATAAATTAATAGTTCTTGGCAAATTGCCCCTTTAGATTAAAAGCAATAAAATTAGTAATTAAATGCGATATAAAATTACCATTAAATATCATTGCAGATATTTGACATTGTCAGATGTTCCAGCTATAATCAGAAAATTTAAAACCATCTGACTGATGTTAATGGGATCTATCATTACACGATAATGGAAAAAACTGCTGCCACTGGGTTTCTTGAACCAGAAAGTCTTTAGGAATTCTTCAAAAAATGCGTTCTTGCTTTTGTTTGTTTTAAGAGTTAAAAAACTCACGAAGCATTCATCTGCGTATCTATACCACTTATTAACACTATCCTGTTATATTTTTTGTGTGATACAAGTATTATTTACTCATACCATGAGATCAACTTTCACACCTCATTACTCACAGGGAAAAAAAATTCATACAAATCTTTGAATGTATCATCGAAATTAACTGAAAATTAAAGTTTGAAAAGTGAATCAACACAGAAAGTGAAACCACGCAAAATGTCATTTTGAAACAAATAGCCCTTTGGGTCTAACGGCCTTTTGGACTAAAAAAAAAAATAAATAAATAAATAAAATAAATGTTAAATTAGCAAGTTCAAAATTGGAAATAGCACCATTTAACTGATAACGAAGTAAGAACTCCTTACTACCTCGCGCGAAAAATGCAATATTGAATACAATGACAATTTTGCTTCTTTATTAAATTATTCTTATAGCAGGGCTTGAATGAATGGATTATATTCTACCACACAAAGTTTTTCGATACCAATAAATTTCCAGACGGTGTAGTGGTTAGGGGAGCCAACTGCGATACCTAAAGGCCTGGGTTCGAATCCAGGGGAACGCATAGTTCTAATTATCCATCCCTTCATAGGAGGCAAAGGTGGCCCACCTATTAGCTACCTGCATAATAAAGTGACAACTACTTCTGGCCTTAGTGGTGGCCAAGTCGAAATCTGCTGATGACCCATCATTTATATTAAAATAAATAAATAAATAACCAAAAAAAAAATCTGAAAGGTTTCAGGTTTTAAATTATGTCTAGAGAGTAGTTTTTTCAACATTTTGTGTGTTATTTTTATGTATTAAATATCATGTTCTTTGCACTTAAACCATAAAAATTCAGTTCAATAGCAATGTCACAAAATAATTTTAAAATGAGCATATTTTTAGAATTTTCAATACACAGTTCCCAGTTCCGCGCGCTGGAGATAAAAAGGTGTTTTTTCCCCGTAGAGTCTTGCACTGCTTTCTTTCAAATCGTTGAGTTTGTTAATCAAAAATTCGTTAAAGTTTTACAAAATATGAAATGGATAATAAAACAAATTTCAAATTTGGGCTTCCAGATGCCCATATTCACAGGAGGATTATGTCATTCAAAATTCGATGGCTCTATGTACCGTTGTTTTATCACAAAATACGAGAAATATACATACATTAATGCAGATTTTTCATTATTTAATTTCTTCAAATATAATGCAGGACTCTAACATCTGGTCACAACAGTTTGAAAAGTTATTTGCCATATATAGTGATTCAATGCAAAATTGCAAAACGAAAAGAATAGTCCTCCAGCAACAAAGTCTCTTTGGACTAAAAAAAAAAAAAAATAAATAAAATAAAAATAATGATGAACAGTTAAAGTGAAAAAAAAAAAATTACACTATAAAATATCTGTTGCTTTATAAATTAACTGATGATAAATCATTAGTGTTTAGAAAATTATATTTCATATTACGGATAGATTAAATAATAAAGGAATGCATAATACATTATTACTCCTAGATTCGTTAAACCGTAACAAATAACAGAATAAGACTATACTATGCCAATAGTTCTGTTTAAATTTTTACAGCTTATCAAATTATTAAGCTATTTAGTCCTGCAAACAAGCAGCTTTCGCGTGCTGTCTTTACTAACAATTCATTATTTATCAACACTTTAATGTGAACAAACTGTTAGAGATTCTTCCAGTTAGGAATGGATGAAATTTAGTTTCAAGGCCGGCAATCATTGGTATAACAGAGGAGAAACATTTGCTTCCCATGAATTCTTTCCTTCCGGACGATATGGGTCGGTTTCCTAAATGAAACGGGTGAAGCAAACGTGGGGGAGAACATACGATTTTCCCGCAGGCAAGTTGGAAAAAACCTGCTATCGAAATGACCTTGCTCGGCTGCAGCCAGCTCAACCTCTTACCCTTAAAACCCAAGGAGGTTAGAATAGAAGGAGGGAGGGTTCGCAGTTTCCTCCACAATCGGGGGAATGAAACTCCACCCAACAAGTGGCGTCCATGTTTGTAATTTCAAAACATTGCATTACGGCAGTGAAACGTACGTGTTTTTAAGCTGTTCCGTGCATGCATTTTCCAATAAAAATATGTAAAATTTATAATGAAATGCTTTGTAGTGTTAGTTTTTTGTTTTAAAGTTATAAAGATGATATCCGTAATTTACTACGTACAGAAAATCATTAAGAAATAGTTCGACATCTAAATGCATGTGCCTTGAAGCCTTTAAAAATGATGTTTCTGCATATTTCAATAATTTGTTTAGGTTTTATTAGGAACCTGTTGGGAGTACTTTCCGATTTTTCCTTTAAGAAGTGATATTTATGATTTATTCACAATATTATAATTTATTAAAGAATCATTTAAAATAATTTTAACCTGAAAATAATAGCAGAGAATTATCTAAAAAAATAGTCACAGGTTGCATTTTTTTTTAAATGAAAGTTTTAAATAGATTCTTTTCACACCAACAACTTTATAACAAGAAAATAAATATTAATAAAATAAAACAGATTTATGTGAATTCAGCGATTTCAGTTTATGCGCATTTCATATTTATGAATCTCAAAGAAATTGCTTTGAATTAAGCTGAATTACAGAAATATACCTATATAAATTTTTGGATACATCTTTCCACATGTTCAGTTGTGTAAATATTTTTATATTATTTATTTTTATATTTATATTTATTTTTTATATTTATATACCAGCTATAAACAGAAACATTAAAATGTATTTAAGGTATTTTGATTATTATTAAGTACTTTTTTTCACATCTGGAAAGAAAACAACATGACATTGTGATATTTTTTAACATATTTATCAAATTACTTAGAAAATGAAAATCAATACTTACGAATGAAAAGTAATCTTATGAATCTTTTTCGAAAATCTGTTTGTGCATCTATATGCAACACAAGCTGACATGCTTCAAAAAGAAAAGAAAAAAAAAATATTGCAATTACAGGCTTCTTGCACAAGTCACAGCGATAACAGAAACACGGCCGCGAAGCTTCACCGTTTGAGCTGAACCTTCCCTCCTTCTATTCTAACCTCCTTGTTAAAACCTCCCTCAAGAGAGCTTGCTATAACCCTGCCAGTTAAATTAAAAATTGACAGGTTTTCCCAACTCCGATTGGCGACATTATTTGGCGAGATTTTAGAGTTCCTTTTCTTCCGGGTGACATTTTTTCCGTTCCTTATTTTCGGGGGACATTCTTTCCACTTTCCTTTTTCCCTGGTGACATTTTTTCCACACACCCAAAATTCTGGAAATTATTTTAACCAAGAATCGGTAATGGGAACCATGCATAAATAACTCATCTAACTTTTCAACAACAGTGATTATAAAATAAGCAAAAAAATTAATGTCAATGATATTCAAACTCATTATGTTACATATATTTTTGGCAAACATTCAGATTTTAACTTGTGTTTCTAAATTATTATTCTCAAACTGTTATTTATTTTTAAATAAATTTCAATATGTTAATGATTTTCATATTACATAACTATAATTTCCACAATTAACATACGAAAACAAAATCTACTTATTAAATTAAAAACAAAATTTCTTTTCTACATTCAAAACATCCACGTTGGCAATGTTTGGCAACAGGTAAATTAAGGCTAGACCAATTTAATTGAAGCTATTATGACACAAATTAGCAGATATTTAGGTTATTGTACACAAGAATTTCACGTTACTTGCACGCTATAAACATTTGAGAAAATATAAACTCTAAATGAAGGAGTAAATAATATACTTATTAGGAAACGTTGAGCACCTGAACCAGGTTCTCAATTAACAATTATCTCTTCGGCAGATATTTACCCAAATTTTTCTTTTTTCTTCATTTTTAGGAAATTTTCCCAATATATGACCTTTTCATGAATGATCTGAGCAATTAATAGCTGCACATCAGTCAGTTTTACACAAAAAAAGAACAAGAAATTGTTGCACCTTTACATGTAATACAGTTGATCTATGTATCCGTCATTAATATTCCCACTTGGGCTCCTGAATGGCGAATGATTCAGCCTGGTATATAGGAGCCTTAGCATAGTACATACTGCAGTATTAACAGCTTTCAAACGTCTAGGCATAGAATTCGGCAGTTTTTTTATAATATCTGCATCAGTTCCTTGATTCTTCCCCTGTTAGTGTTTTTAGTCCCCCTAATTTTTTTTTAAATGTTGTGTTTTTGTACTGTAACCTTTAATTTTCTCTCCAAATGTGTTCTGTTGGATTTAAATCTGGTGACTGAGGTGGTGTTTTTAGAACTTGTGGACAATTATATACACCCAAATTATGAAATGGCTTATATGACTTTGAAAACACAGTGTATACAACAGTAATGTATACATAAAAATCACAAATTAAAAAGTTTTAAGTGAATTATGTACAGTTATGGAGGTTAAAAATTGTATTTTAACGCCTTTATTCGTCATATGTAATAATCTATACAACACAAATAAAAATATTAAAATGGGACTTCTTAAAAAAGACAGCATTGATACCAAACAAATGGCAAGTAAATATTTAAAATCACTAAATTACTAACTGCAGCTTCATAGATCAAACAAATTTCTAAATTTTAAGATTTTGTGAATAATGAACTCAACAAATAACTTCAGAAATTTCACGCAGTATGTAAGCAATGCATTTATATACATTTCGTACACATTAAAATATAAAAATCAAAGACTTGCCTGATAAATTTAGACATTTACACACTGAACATTAATTTACTACATGCAGAAATTAAAAATACAATCAACAAATAAGATAAATTACAAAATAAATAACAGGTTTGATAGCAGCCAAAAATTATACTTACTAATTATAAAATAACGTTTCAAAGATTTCGAGAATGGAAAAATTATTAGATGAGCAGAAAGTTTTAATGCAATTGTAATAGATTCTTCTAAACTGATGCATAAATGCACACACAAAAAAAATTATATTTAATATTTCAGCTGGGAGAGGCTTTAAAGAACAGAACACGAGAAACACTTCGGTACGCTTTGTCTATTTATGGCTTTACATGTCACATAAGGGTGTCACACTTCGTTGTGACGTCACCGGAAACTGATTACCCACTTACTGATTCATTCTCATTCTTAAGAAACACCAGGAGCTGCTTAATTTTTCAATGTGATTGGTCTGAGAAATATGATTGACATTTATCTCTACCAATCTATAGACAGTATTCTAATAGCACTCTTCTTTCAAACAGGACAAAATACCTGTCTACCTGTAAAACTGGCAGAATACGAAAAGTCGTGCAGTTATATGAATCTAAATACTTCAAGGACGCAGCAAAAATTATTAGTTGTCTAAATCTATGAATTTTAATAGGAAAACCCTTTATTCTTATCGCCTTCAGTTTTATACTTATTAATGGTATATATTAATTTTCGCTACTTAGGTCATTTAGTGGCTCAAGTGTTTTTGGACAAGTGGTTTTTAGTTTTTTGTAACCAAATATCAGCAAAATAAGTAAATAAATATTAGCAAAATCACTTTTTTTTTTCCACGTCTACAACTGATCATCTATTTTAAAACCTGATTCTTTTAAAAAATGTTATTCAAAGCGCTTTTAGCATAATAATAATTTATTAAAAACAAATTCTGAAAATGAATTAACGTAAGTATTCGGACACTTCGACTAAACTACATGAACATGAAAATAACCGGGCATTCAACATTTCGTTGGATACTCTTTAGCTAAAATTACACTTTTTATACCTTTTGGCAAGGAATCAATTAATATTTTTTTCACGTAAGAATGTTCAATGCTTTTCATTTCTTTGTCAGAAATGCTTTTAGTAGAGTTTCGAAGAACTGTCTTGTTTTCTTACTCTTCTTTTCTTCTACTCACTCCATACATGTTCTATAGTCCGGAGAATATGGTGAAGTTTCTAACTTCAATACAGCTGGAAAAAGGAAGAGGTCCGAAATCGAATCTGGGCGGGTGAAACCAAGGAGGTTAGAACCTCCTTGGGTGAAACTAACTTGTGCAGATAGTTTAAAGGAAAGAAAAAAGTATAAAAGGTGGTGAATACAAAAATGTGAGCGAGGTGTTTTATTTGTGGTTCAGTAGAGCTAAGGAAACAGGGAACATCCTTTTCAAGACCAATTTTACAAGAAAAGGCCCTAAAATATTGTGATGAATTTCAAGGAGGAGAGCCTGAATTAACTGCAAGTGCTGACTGTCTCGATAGACGAAAACAGCTGTCGGCTCAGACGACATCAGGCAGTTAAATGTTAATAGGAAAAGCTGTCTGCTAACTTAGAAAATGCTGCAATATTCAAAGATAATTTCCACAAACTAATTGAAAAGGAGGGTATATCTGGGGATCAAATTTATAACTGTGATGAGACGGGTCTAAATTTTCGAATGCTGGTATCTTGGGAAGAAAATTCGGCACCTGGCTGCAAAGAAACAAGCTCAAACTAGCGCTTATAGGCAAATCAAAAAATCCTAGTTTTTCAAAATCTTAAAAAAAAACACTAATGGGGCCGAAATCAACTATCATCTTCTTGTTTTGTACCGTAATCTGTCAAACGCAGGGATGAATGGAGCAAAATTTAATGATTGGTTTCGTCAGCAGTTTGTTCCATCGGTGGAAAAGTTTTTTAAATAAAAAATTCTACCAAGCAAAGCAATTCTCATTCTAGACAATGCCTCATCTCATCCTAATGCAAAGCAGTTACGAGACGAAGATATAGGAATCATGTGTCTCCCTCCTAACGCAACTTCGGTGTGTCCGCCGATGGACCAGGGGGTTTTCGTTTACCAAGATTTCGATGTAAACAACAAACAATGTTTCAACCGGAACTGTGAATTCTACTTCCGGTATAGAGTTTCGCATTTTTTCAGGCTATTTTTTCTAATTTTAAGTTTTCATTTCAGCCCCATATTTTTGATTAACATTTTATTTATAATTAAATCTCTTGTTTTTTTTTTTTTTTTTTTTTTTTTTTTTTTTTTTTTTTTTTTTTTTAGTAGCGACGAATATTGTCGTATTTAATAATAAAGAATAATTTTAATGCAAAAATTGCCAGATTTGTTTAGTTATCGCTACTTAAGCGACTTTTTGATTTTCCGAGATTCCGAGATGCGTAGTGTTTATCATAGTAACATAACAAGTTTTGGGGATAAAAATAATTCGAGGAAAGTGCAGAATCACCCACTGCTTGGCGCGTTTTTAAGAATTGTACATACTCTGTATCCATGTACACATCGACCTATTTTCACTTAAAAAACATCCCAGAATTGCACAAAAATGAGATTGCTCACGCCCTTTATCCATGTACACATAGACCTATTTTCAAAAGTCAAAGAAAATTGACAAAAATCCAATTCTTCTTACTCTTGTAAAAAGCGCCAAACAAATAAGTGAGCGATTCTGCACTTTACCCAAAAATTCTTCCTCGTGCTCCCCGCTATAATTCGTTCTATATGAGTACATAAATGCTTTTTTAAAATAGTATGCGTCGAATATATATTTCTATTCCTGTTTAATTGAATTCATTTATTCTATGAATGTGTTATTTTTATTACAGATAAGTTTCATTTATTCTGTTAATGTGTTAGTTTTATTCGTCTTATATGAATATATATGCTTTCTTAATATGTTGTGTTTTGAAGGTATTTGGTATATTTAATTAAGGCAAAGCACACTAGGGGCTATCTGCCTAAGAGGAGGGATGCCTTCGTGGAGGACTTCCTAAGGGAAACTGACTCGTATACACGTTACACATGGGGAAAACCACGAAAACGCCCATGCAGCCAGCCCGTTCGCGGGATTCAAACCTCGGACCGAACTACCAGTGTTCAGCGACTTTACCGCTCGGCCGCTGGTGGGCCTGTGTTTTGAAGAAACAGTATTTGAATTTCATGCTGGTTATTATCATTTTTATTTCAGGTTAAGTTATTTTTAAAGGATTTTGTCACTTGTATTGTTTGGGAATCATTCCTCTAATTTTTAAGTGATAGTTGAACAATTTTAGTTTTGTTTACTTGTTTATTTATTTTTCTTGAAGTTAACAACAATCTATTTTTGGAACTCAAGGTTGAGATTTTTAAGTTTGATTTAATTTAGCCAACAAATAATAGTGAGGATGAAACCTTTAAACATTGGTAAATGCAACACAATTTTAATGCTTGGCATCAGAATAAGTTTACTGGTAGTTTTGTCATTGTATCATCATGAGTCTTTGAAATTTGTTTTTGCAGTAGTTCATATATAACAAAAGTTTTCATATATGTTTTATAAACACAAACATAATAAATATATCAGCATGTAGTAATTTGATCACTGATGGGACATATTAACCCACTGTTAAATACAACTGCAACAATATATCCCACAAAAAAGAATTTATTAAAATTTCTTAAATCTGACATTTAAAATGTTAAATTACTACTTAATAAGAACAATGAGAACTATTTCATACTAAGTATGCCAGTATGCCTTAAAGATAATTGTATAAGGTATTTCTCCCGCCTTCTTAGCATGCCTTTGAATTGTAGTGGTCAGCATGCTTGGCGCGTATTCGAGAGGTCCGTGGTTCGAGTCCCGGCAAGGGCACTGCTCATTTTTCATTTCTCCTGCTTTAAAAAAAGTACCTAATGTCTCTACAGTAGTGTTCAAACTAAAATGGTGGTGGATGATGATTCTCCATTTCCAGGATTTGGCAATTGTCTCCCCTAATCCCCTGTCACCCTTTAAAAGGGGAGAGTATATAAGGTATTTCTCCTGCCTTCTTAGCTTCATAGTGTAGAGGTCAGCACACTCGGCACGTATTCGAGTAGCTCGTGGTTCGAGTCCTAGCGAAGGTGCTGCTCATTTTTCATCTGTCCTGCTTTCAAAAACATGCCTAATGTCTGTACAATTGTATTTAACTGTAAAATAAAAAAAATCAAAAAAAAAAGATTATGGGGCGAACCATGAAAATGCTCACACAGAATGGTAAGAGATAAGGTGGCTCCATCCCTTTGTTAAATTTGCCTCTAAATTCCAAACCCATTGTTCTTTTTCTTTGTAACATGCAACTCACTGAACTTTGTATGTGAGTGTAAATGACCTTTTAACATGATGAACAATATTTCTCTGACAAGAAGAGGTGTTATAGATTTAATGGCAATATCCTTAAATGGAGAACTTTAAAGAAAATTTAATCTTAAATCTAATGTAAATTTTTTTTGAAAAGTCATTAGCATCGATCCTCCAAGAGAAAGATAATGTGCAGCAGCTTGTGTTGCATAAATTTATTTGCTGTTTTATGCAATTTCTGTAATACAGTACAAAGTCTTTAATCCGGAATGATCTATAATCCGGACGCGTCCGCTACGCATGCACATAAAGAGAAGAGATACTGTTTATAGAAGAGAGAATTAAAGAGAAAGTATTAGCACAAAAAAATGAAGCAACTTAAACAATTTACATTGAAAGAAATATTTAATGAAGTAAACAAATAAATATTAACCTTTTTTTTTTTGTAAATTTTGATATCCTTTAGATCTTAATTGCTCTTTATTTTATAAATTACATTTTCATATTTTTAATTGTATAATGTCTGCATGCCATCTTACCAGATTTAAATTGATGATCTATAATCTGGAAGAAACCCTAATCCGGAATCACTGGATTAATCTCCTAATCTGGAAGTCCCGACAAGTCCGGATTACGGACTGTGTACTGTAATAGTATATCTATTACAAGTGTCTTTTTTCATTTTAAAATTCTTTGCCTGTTCCTGTTGATATTCTCAAAATTGTATCTGATAATTAATGCTATTATGTATATAATAGATATAAATACAATAGATGCATATAATAGATCAGGGGTAGCCAAACTTTATATCAGTGAGAGCCACAACTGCATATTTACATCATTTTAAAAGTAGTGCAAGAAATGTCTGATTCAAAACAATCATTCAGTGACAGCATGCCTTACTTTCTTTTGTACATTAAGCGGTTTTAGTTTAATGTATTTCATACATGTCTTATTTCGAAAAGAGCCATGCCCTTGTTAGAAATTAATGAATGCATGACTTTTAATGCATCCATTTTACATAAACAATTTTTCAATGTTAATTTTTTCAATTTACTTGTATATAGCTTACATTGATACAATTGCCTTTCTTTTTCATGATATATTTGACAATACCAATAATCTTCAATAGCAGTACTCAAATTCTGTTCAGTAGCATAGTTAATAAAACTAGAACTCGTCAAAAGTCATTTGAGCTTGGATTCGTTACACAAGCAGTGGTTTGCTAATTTAAATGACCCAGGGAATCCCTAAATATATTCTGTTATCTTAGAGAATCAGTAATATTTTTTTATTTCAATTTAATCATCTTTTGTGTGTCACACCTGCCATCCTCTGAAAGGTTATTGTTAGAAAAGCATTAACAATATATTATCTCTTCAAAATTTTAAGCCATAAATATTGATTTATTCTTATTATTTTAGATGACAATAAGCAATAATAAAAATATAAACATTATGCATATTTTTCCGAACCGATGAAATCAAAATATTTTAGGGGTTGGAAACCTCATGGTTCCGCGTGCCTTTACGAATTAAGAATACAATGATACCGGCTGTGTTATCAATTTTCATCCGCCCCTTCCACCATATTTTCTTCCTCTTATCACAAACTGACGAACCGCAAACTAGCACCTGTCTCCAAAAACTTCCTTAAATATACAAAAATATTTCTATCTATTCATTGTTAAAAATTTATAAAAAATAATGTGGAAATCCATAAAATAATAATAATAATAATAATAAATAAATGAAGAATAATTTAAATCTGCAAATGCATACAACAAGGGTGATAATTCAACAAAATCAGTGTAAGAGGAATGGTTGCAATCTTCCAACAAGCGAATAAATTGAATTCATTGCATTACCAGGTTTTGAACCATTATCGCAATTTTTGGCAGTGTTTATATTTACCGGGTTCTTTGCAGAAATGCTTCCCAGTGAAGTCCTTATCGGATATTTCTCTCTCTCTCTCCCTCTTACTTTCCTATATCAATTCCTCTTGTTACTTCCTCTCATCCACTTTATCTCAGCCCCTTTTTGAAGGACTTGGGAAGTTCCACACATTAGCCAATCCAGACTGACATTTAAATTACTGTGAATTGTGTGTCACACCTGACAAACTGCTTTGGCGTCTTCAAGTTTTCGGAAGCCGGTCAAGACATCAAGCGATGTACAGAGATCCGAATACGAAGAACAGTTCGATATATGAGTATGCCCATAAGAATTTTTCTTTTATTCCATGTATTTTTTACCTGTTACATTCAAATATTTTGCACCAATTCTCCAGTAAACTTTCATATATTTTGCTCATGTTCCTCACTTAAATAAGTAAAGCAGTATTATTTTTCAAATGTACTTGTATTTAATTATATGGTACAGTTTGTTTATTCTTAATATTATGTACAAATGTACACACATGTGTGCCTTTATGCAATTTGTGTAAATATGTGCATATGCAGAGCCAGATTTAGACTTGAAAAGGCCCTAAGCTATTTGAGATATGGGGCTCTTTATAAGTCTGTTATATTTTAATACTATTTAAACTATATTTTAATTTTTTGGGGGTCTCCCAAGAAATTAGGGGCCCTAAGCTATAGCTTGTGTAGCTTATATGTAAATTTGGCTTTGTGCATATTGTTACGAGATATCCAGGTGCGGTACATTTGACGATATGCCATAGACAGATAGAGAATCTTCTGGAATGAATTCTTACTGGTTTAGCCCAGAATGTTCTCGAACACAAAGCAAAAGCTATATAAACCCTGCTAGTACATGGAGAGTCAGTTGGTTAGTGA